GGTTGTGGTGATGATGTTCTTGTTGCTGTTGTTGTCGCTGCTGCTTGCTCGTGTATTGCAGTGCCTTCAACGCTTCTCGCACTGACTTTCGCTTGCTTTGCAACAAACAACTGCACACTCCTATCACCGTGCTTGCCTTGTTGTGTACTCCGCCTGCCCCAGGCATGCGAGATGAAGAGGACAACGGCGCTTGGAGAGACAGATGTCGTGGTTCCTGCACACGCGCCGTCACAGCCATCCTCATCGTCGTCATCAGCACAGCAGCAACAGCAGCAACAACAAGATGAGGCTGATGATGTTGAAGCTGTTCAAGAGGAGCTGAACGTTGTCAGTCTGTAACCTCGCACTCTGTGTGTGCGTGTGTGTGTGTTTCTTCAGTAAACGAGACGGTGGTTAAGACTTTACTACTGTGGTGCTCGCGACGGACGAGCAGCCGACAAACGTGCGGAACAGAGCGACACGAAACGGCTCGCAACACTCACACAGCCCAGACGGGCATTGTCGATGAAAATGCACACGCACAGAGAGAGAGAGAGAGAGAGAGAGAGAGAGAGAAGTGTGTGTGTGTGTGTGTGTGTGTGTGTGTGTGTGTGTGTGTGTGTGTGTGTGTGTTGGTGGTTCGATGCTACGCAGGTTGACCAAGGCAACTGCAGTTGACAAATTCCCAGGACGCTCAGCCGAGCATGCTACCACTTGGGTGCGCGTACAACTGGTACACCACCCTCTGCAAAACAAAGACATGGGGGTAGGAAGTTGTGTGTGAGCAAGCAAGCAGTACAGGAAGGAAAACGGCCGCAAAGGATAGAGGCGGGGGGCTGAACGAGTTGTCAGCAGCCATCGCCAACAAACACACACACACACACACACACACACACACACACACACACACACACACACACACACACACACACAGGCACGCACACGCGCACATCAATGCATACGAACTGCGGAATGCAGAATGCACACGAGATGGAACCAAGGGCGGACCTGTCGCTTCAACATCTCCAGATCTTCCTTTGCCTTGGAAAACATGTTCTCCAGCACGGCTGGGTCTGCCTCGCCCTTTGCTTGTCTGAAGCCTTCACGGACTCGCCGGACTGCATATGACCTATCACCACGCAAAACAAAACACAGTAAGCCTCACTTCACCGCAGCACAGAAACGAACACACACTCACACAGAAAAGTACCCTCCCACAAGCGACACAACACACAAACCCACCTGACGTTGTAGGAGACAAACCCCTGCGCTTCGCGCAGCATGCGACGATACAATGACAGCGCCTGTGACCTGGTGTTGCGTTGAGAACCCACGCAACAAAATAAATAAAAAAATCAAGGGACGCGGTGAGGGTACAGCTACGAGGACGAAGAACCACATCGACAAGGCCAAGACCGACCATGGCCAGGCAACGACGCCAACGCATTGGAGCCGGCCAGCCCAAGGAACACGCATATCCGTCCGTCAACACGCTGCAACACCGCGCAGCACACCACGCACCTCATCTCTGCTGCTTGTGTGTGTCAAGACGCGCAACAAACATGTAAACTGAATTCAGTCACTTTGTGGTCCCGACTGGATTCAGTGTTTGCTGACACACACAACTGAAAGGCGAGCAAACTCAAGCAAGCAAGCAAGAAGCAAGAAGACAACCACAAAACATACCCACCACAACATACACGACGACAACCTCACATCACGTCATGGCATGGACGGCGTGGCTGACGGTGGAGGAAGGAGACGGCGAAGCACTCGCTGTGGCACCCAGCGACCGCATTGTGCTCCCATCATCTGCATTGCATGAGCTGCACGACCGTATGGAGCTCGGTAAGAGATTGCGTGCGTGTGTGCGTACGTGTACGTGCGTGTGTACGTGTGTACGTGTGTGTTTACGTGCGTGCGTGCGTGCGTGCGTGTGTACGTGTGTGTGTGTACATGCGTGTGTACGTGCGTACGTGCATGTGTGCGTGTGTGTGTACATGCGTGTGTGCGTGTGTCTGTGTGTGTACGTGTGTCTGTGTGTACTTGTGTGCGTGTGGATAATCGTGCATTGCCATTGAATGATTTTGGTTCACCTCAGCGTTCCCACACACTTGTGTGCACGCTCGTTCCCCTCCCACAAACACGCACGCACTTGTAGGGAAACCTCTGCTGCTTCGAGCAGCTGTCCGCAAGATTTCCAAGGCGGAGGACAAGGTCGCATGCAGTGTGCATAGCTTCAATGCCCCAGAGAACACAGCCATCGTTCCCGGCTGGCTCTTGCAACAACTCAAGCTCAGCCCCGGCTCAAAGGTCAGGCCCAGACGAGATGTTGTCTGCGCACATTGGCCACGTGCTGCACTATATGTAACCCTTCCATTCGCTATTCCCAACACAAACACAACACCAACGCAAGCCAAAACACCCAGCTCCTTCGCCCACTCAATTGAACACCCACATCTGTGCAGATCTGGCTTGAGCTTGTGGACGAGCTGCCCACGGCAGAGTTTTGCCGCTTTCGCGTGCTTGACGAAGCGTTCTTCAAGCTGCAGAACCACAAGGCCGTCCTGGAGAGGGCACTGGAAGGCAACTACCGCACCCTCACAGAGGTAGATCACTACTTGTGTGCGTGTGCGGTGAGAGTGTGTGCGTGTGTGTGCGTGTGTGGTGAGAGTGCGCGCGCACAACGTCCCTTGACCCCTTAGTACGTCGCCAAGCCGCGCAGCACCATGCAGCCACATGCCGGCTCACACCGCGGCACGCACATTTACCACTGATGCCGTTCCCTACAGGGGTCCACCATCCGCGTGGACCATCTCGGCATCGCATACAAATTGGAGGTCCTCGAGCTCTTGCCGGAGCGCCAGTGCTCTCTCATCGACGCAGGTGAGTGCCTGTGTGTGCCTGTCTGTGTCTGTGTCTGTCTGCCTGTCTGTCTGTCTGTTTGTGTGTTTGTCTGTCTGTTTGTCTGTTTGTCTGCGTCTGTGTGTATCTGTGTCTTTTGCTTTCGATTCATACAAACCCACCTCACTTGCGGTTGCATGCATGTGTGTCTGTGTGCAGACCTGGAGGTGGACTTGACCGGCATGGTGACGGAGAAGCGGGACGTGGTAGCCAGTGGTGGTGGTGGAAACGTCCTGTTGCTGGACAGCACTTCTGGGGCCGCCGCTGATGCAACATCAAAGTCCTACACCACCCTCAAGCTGTCCTTGCCCCAGTGCACCCCTTTTCAGGTTTCCTATGAGGTACATATGCAGCCCCTGACTCGCAATCGCTGCACAGCGATCACACGAAGAATACACCCACATATTCACAACCACACCCATGCATACGCACACACATGCACAAATACACATGCACCAACACAAAAGCACGCACATGCACACAAACACACACGCACACACGCACACATTTCCACACTCCCTCACACAGCACAACCTCTAATGTTCCTCATCACCACCACCGCCGCCACGATACAGGCGCCGAGCCGCGGCGATGTTGAGATGTACATTTCTCCGGCGTCACACACGGAGTCGCCAACGCGCAATCTCTTCACGCACACATGTACAGAGGACGACTATGACCGTCGCGGAACCATCACCGTCAACGATCCGAAAGAAACGACATGGTGAGTGAGTGTTGCTCGCTGTTGTCCTTTCGTTCGCTGTCCGTGACACGAAGCAGTTAGTGCACTGGCACAAAGAGATTCACAAAACCCAAGAGCAGGCACACACACACACATACACATACACACACATGCACACACACGCACGCACGCACGCACGCACGCACGCACGCACGCACACACACACACATGCACGAAAACTCAGCACGCACACTCAGCACGCACACTCAGCACGCACACTCACAAACACACTCGCTTGGACAGGTTTGTTGCCGTTCGCGCGTACGGGTGCGATAAGACGCAGGTGAAGCTACGGGCAGCGTCACTTGAGCCTGAGGAAGAGGAAGAGCAAGACGAGCAAGAAGGCCAGACCACACAACAACAACAACAGCAACAGCAACAGCAGCAGCAGTCCATGGTAGTGGATGGCACTTGCGATTTGAATGCACAGGCGACGCAGCGCTGCGATAACTGCGGGCACGACGTCCCTGCCATGTCGTTTGCACGCCACGTCGCATTTTGCCGGCGCCACAACGTCGTGTGCGAGCGGTGTGGGCGTGCCGTGCGTCGAACAGCAATGGGCGAGCACTTCCACTGCGATGCGTGTGAGCAGGCTGGGCGACCGTTCGTCTGCGACAGCGAGCACGCAAAGGCAAAGCACATTGACTTGTTCCACTCCACCACCCTGCACTGCGATTGTGGTGCCTCCCTACCGCTGCTGGAGATGCAAGAGCACAAGGCCAAGGTATCAACACATGTGTGTTTGTGTGTATGCGAATGTGTATGTGTACGTGCTGGTGTGTGCATGTGGGTGTGTTTGTATTTGCCCCTTTCGCGTACAGCTTTCTTGCCACAAGCCCACTGGCTGCACATTGCTTCCACCTCCTCCCCCAACCCACCCCAACCCACTGCCGCCACCAGACGTGTCCGCTGCGCGTGGTGACGTGCCGCTTCTGCTTCAACACCATGCGTGCGGGCCGTGCCCCATCAGATCCCCGCGACCGCCTCGCCGGCCTCACCCAACACGAGGTCCCGCTGCCTGCCCGTCTGTGTGTATCTGTGTGTGCCTGTGTGTGTGTGTGTGCGTGTGTCCGTGTGTGTGTGTGTGTGTGCGTGTGTCTGTGTGTGTCTGCGTGTATCCGTGTGTGTGTGTGTGTGTGTGTGTGTGTCTGTGTGTGTGTGTGTTCTTTCGTCTGTGGCTGTGGCTGTGGCTGTGTGTGTTCTTTCGTCTGTGGCTGTGGCTGTGGCTGTGGCTGTGGCTGTGTTTCGATGTGTCACTCGCTTTTTTGCCCTCTTTGCCCTTTCCCTTCACTCGAATGACTCTCACACTCTCGTGAACATGGCCACGACTGTCACGCAGAGCGAGTGCGGCAGCCGGACTGAGACGTGCGCTGTCTGCGGTGCACGCGTGCGCCTGAAGGACATGGAGATGCATCAGGCCCTCCACGCCAACCAGCACGACACAGCAGGCACCGGTGATGTCACGGCACAATCCCATGCACCCGCAACCGCAACGACAGCAGCAGCGCCCACCGCGAGCAGAACGACATACGTTGCAAAGCCAATCACGGATCCCCAGCAACTCGCTCGCATGCGCGCACAGGCCTGGAGCAGGTTGGAAGCTGCCTTGCATTGTGTGCCCGTCCGTGTATGTGTGTGTGTGTGTGTGTGTTCGTGTTCGTGTTTGTGTTGTTTTTGTGCGTGTGTGTGGATGTGTGTATGTATGTGGTTTGTGCATGTATGTGCGTGTGTGTGTTTATTTGCATTCATTTGCATTATTTTGCATTCGGGCTGCATTCGGGCGGCACTTCTGTTTGTGTGCACCTGCCGCCCTGTGTGCGCGCAACAACTCGTTCCACCTCACCCACACCACCTGCTCTGCCTCGCCCACACCACCTGCTCTGCCTCACCCACACCACCGCTCCACTGTTGTGTTTCTGCGCCACCAGAGCCGGATTTGAAGACCGCGTACCGGAAATTCCATCCGTTCCCGGATTTTCAACAGAGCACGAACTGCAGCAGGACATGGTGACACGACACAACGCCACGACGCACCACCACCAGCAGCAGCAGCAGCAGGCACCGGTGGCGAGTGGGGTCGAGGCGCGTGTGTGTGCAAATGACGGCTGCACGAACGAAACGACAAGCGAACTTGGCGTCTGCAGGCAATGTCGCAATCGCGTACGTTTGAACATGAATGAAGGGGAGGGGGACGGTGGCTGGTGTGACTGCCGGTCAATACGGCGCGTGGCGGCGCCTGCAGCTTGCTCTTTCCCAACACAACACACAGCACAGCCCTACGTAAACACACACGTCACACACGCAAGTCACACACACACATCACACAACTCACGCACACACACACGCGCGCACACGTTAACACTCGCACACCTCATCATCACAGCTGAGCGAACTCTCTGGCATGTCCGTGGACCATGCTGACAAGAAGGAGTTTATTCGCATCCTCGTGAAGGCATACTACAATATGGTGTGTTGTGTGTGCGTGTGTGTGCGTGTGTCCTTCCCTGCTCGCTTGCCCCGCCTCTCTATCTCCTGTGTTGTGTGCGTCTCACAGCACCGGCCACGTGTGCGTGTGTGTGTGTGTGTGTGTCTGTGTGTGTGTGTGTGTGTGTGTGTGTGTGTGTGTGTGTGTGTGTGTGTGTGTGTGTGTGTGTGTGTGTTCCACTGCGGCCATGGCATCCACTCCGACATGCGTGTGCGCGCCAGGCGACCATTGGCTGTGGCAGTGAGACCTGCACCAATCCGTACTGCGTGTCTTCGCCAAAGTTCAGCGGCGCTGCAGAGACATCAGGTTTGTGTCCGCACCTTGCTCTGTGTGCTTGTGTGTGTGTGTGTGTGTGTGTGTGTGTATGTGTGTGTGTGTGCTTTTGTGTGTGTGTGTGTGTGCAAGGAGCTGAAAGTCATTGAGTTTGCCCGCTTGCAGCCTGCTGGTGTTCATTTGCAAGATGATGTGTTTGATCTGGTAGTCCTGCGTTTCTCATCACCACTTGTAACTCCTCGTTCGTTGGCACATGTACACACAAACGCACTCACTCTTTCACACACACACACGCACGCACGCACGCACGCACGCATGCACACACACACAAACACGCACGCACGCACTCTATCCCCCTCCCTTCAGCGTTGGCGACGGACTGTCTTCAGCGTGCGCAGCAGTACCTGCACCAGCCGTCGGTCGTGTTTGTGTGCCGCACATGATGTGGTGCTCGCTCTCAATGCACAAGCACGTTGCATACTGTTTGTTGGGTTGGGAGCTCCCCCGCGCTGTGTAACATACTGCGTGGTACGCGTAGATAAAAGTAACAATCAACGTCATGCGTGACTCTGTACGCGCTGCAAGCAACAAACCAATACAAGTGCAGCAACATCACGCGCGCACAAACACACACAAACACACGCACAACCTCACACCCAAACACGCACAAACACGCACAAACACCCACACACGCACAAACATGCAAACACACGCACACGCACAACCTCACACAAACACACACACACACACACAAGCAAACATGCGCACGTGCAAGTATCGTCGTCCCTGTCCTGGTGATTGCAGTCTCTACTGGCCTTGCTCTAGCCCAACAGGCGCTGCTTCGCCTCGTGGAAGATCTGTACCGCCCGCGCATACAACCGCTCGTCGCAGTGGTTGTACTGCTTGAGCATGTGCACCAGCGTGGCGTTGGCGCGAATGGCGTCGCGCAGCGGATCTGACCGCGACGCGCGCACGTGTTGCTGGAACAGCTGGCTCTCCGGCACGCGCGGCGGGGGCGGGGCCTCTGGTGGGCGGATCAGCGTGGCCTTGAGCATGTGCAGACCATCCTCCATCTCCTCGTTCAAGAGCACAACAGCCATCTCCTCCAGACGCATCAGCGCATTGTCGCACTGCTGCGACGTGATGTTCGGATCGAAGTACGAGATGCCTACAAGCAGATCCTGTGCGCGAAATTTGGCGAGGGGTTTGGTGCGGCATGGGTTGAGCAGCAGGGGGGAAGCAAAAGCAGGGGGTGGCAAGGCGGTTGTTGTGCTTTGGACGATGGATGTGTTTGAAATGCTACATTGTCTCATACGCACACACGCCTGCGTACACACATCCACAAAACGCACACACACACGCACACACACACACTCACACACACACACACGCACGCACACACACACATACCGCCATTTCGTTGTGGACCGGCGTGAGCTTGAGAAACGTCTCAAAGTCACCGTCGCATATGGCAGCTTGCAGGTCTTCAGGGGAGTTAATCAGCCAAGGGAGAGGAATGAGCTTCTTTTGGGCCTCCTGCGCCAGCTCCTCCGAGCCACGGTAGGGACAGGCTGCCCGCACGAAGAAGAAGAAGGACAGCAGACGGTCCACGGGGTCACGCAAGAGCATCACCGTGTACATGCGCCCGTTGCCATACCCTTTCCTGTCGATGAGCGCACGCTGCACGTTGGAGAACCTGGAGCGCAAGAGTGGAAGCATCAAGTGGCTGCACTCCCCGCATTGCTTGTACGTCGTCATGAGCTCCGGGCATCGCGAGCAGTCCCACGTGTACAAGCACTCCGCGCACACCCCAAGCCCCGGCACACAGTGGTTCTCACACCATCCAGCCTGACAAATGAGTGTCATGTGCAAGAATGTGGAGCGGTGAGTCGAGTCAGGTCAATCACAGCTGAACCACCACACACCAACGCAGCGAAAAGGCGCAGTTCACACCGCTCCTGCACCCACATATACACAGCAACAACACACAACGCACATAACACAGCAGCAGAAGCACAGCAACACTGACCTGTCTGAAGAAGGAGACAAGGGAAGTTGACCCAGTTTTGCGTGGTCGAATGTATGCGATGCGGTCGTCAGGCCCCAGAATCGTCGGTTCAATCCACGCTCCATCACACACATCAACCCCTACTGCCAGCACCAAGAGCACCACCACTGACAACAACACCAACATCCGCACGCAGCGCCCAAACACAACAGCCATCCTCCTTCCGCACTCGAAGTTGGGAAGATTTGTGGAAATTTTCCATAAATCATCGCGCGGCTGGCAACGACGACAAACAAACACCATCCAGCAACACATCCACGACAATGGGAGACTTCTCCACGTCGCTGACGCTGTCGGCACTCAAGGACTTGCTGGCAACGCCTCAGGAAAATGAAGAGGATACTGCTGACAACAACAAGTAGTATGTGTGTGCGTCTCTGTATGTGTGTGTGTCTGTATGTGTGTGTCTGTGTGTGCGTGTGTGTGTGTGTGTGTGTGTCTGTGTGTGTGTGTGTCTGTTAGGCTGTGTGTGTGTGTCTGTGTCTGTCTGTGTCTGTGTGGAAGCAAATAGTTCCTTGTTTGTGCTTTATTGCCCGCAGCCAACGAAGCAGTCATCTCACACTGAGGCTTTTGCCTGCGCTGTCCCTTCAGCTCTGCGGGACCCGCCTTTGCAACACCGGGAGGCATTGCATCGAGCAGCACGGGCAATGGCACTGAAGCACAGCCTGCGATGGTGACACGCAAGTCAGCCAAGGACAAACAGATTCGCCAGGCGCAGCAAGAAAAGCTGGCAAACTCAAAGGACATCTGGACAGAGGACGAGGTCGAGTCGGAAAATCACGCAACCATTGACGATGACGACAGACCAGAGCCAAAGTATGCATCACACGTTGCTGCCTGTTGGGCATTGTTGAGAACCCCCTTGCCTGTCTTTTCCCATTCCCGCCATCATCAGCGCTGCGATGGACACAGTGTTGCTACCTTTTCCTTCGCTCATGGGCGTGCACTGTCACAGGTACACTTTGCACTTTAAACAGGCAGTTACACCAGAGGACATGTATCTCGGAATGAGTGGCCGTAACCCTTCTAGTCACAGCTGTAACGAGATTGTGGTGCGTGTGTTTGTCTGTGCGTCTGAGAGTGGCTGTGTATCTGTGTCCGTGCGTCCGTGTGTCTGTGCGTATGTGTGCTTGTGTGCGTGTGTGCTTGTCTGTGTGTCTGTGTGTGTCTGTGTGCGGCTGTGTATCTGTGTCCGCGTGTCTGTGCATATGTGTGTCTGTGCGTATGTGTGTCTATGGGTGGTCCAATCGTAAGCAGTTTGCATCTCCATGCTGTTGCTCTGCACAAGTCCCTGCACGTCATGTCGGTGCCACTGCCACCTCCACGTTTATGCTGCACATGGCTCCGCCTCCTCTCCTCGCAGTCGCAACACCTCCCTCATCCTCCACATACTCACTCACACTCCCCCCCCCCCCCGCTTTCCCCCGTGCGCTGTTCCACACGTGCAGGTGGTGGTGGAGCTGCCGGCCCACGACGTCAAGCACGTTGACTTGCAAGTGAAGCGGGAGTCCATGAACGTGCTGACGCCAACACACCGCCTCAACCTCACGCTGCCACACCCCGTACGTTGCCTTGCACGCACTGTGCCGATGGTTATGTTTCTGACACACTACACGCTCAATCACCTTGCATGCAGACCACCACCCATAACAACCACGTTCATTCACCTCATCACCACAGTGTTGTCTCACCACAGTGTTGTCTCTGCGTGTGACACCTCCACCTCCCGTCCCGCTCCACCTCCAATCTCTCTCGCGCAGGTTGATGACAAGAACGGCAAGGCGCAGTGGATTGCAGACAAGCAGCAGCTGCGGGTCACCCTGCCCGTGAAGCGTGACTATGACTTCCTCCTTGAATCGTGATGGCCGAGTGGCGGCGTGATGTGATGGTGTTGGCGAACGTTCGTCGTTTGGCAACTACTGTATTTCTATGAAAACAGCCAGCAGGGACACGCCAGCAACGCACATACTGGCATGTGCATGCACGTGAAAACGGGGGAACAAAGCTTCAAATAGTCTGTAACGCAAGTAAAAGGAACAATATGATGAACAAGTATTGCGTCAGGGGCAAGCAAGTACGCTGGTCAAAAAAATGCGGCACAGCAAGGCAGACAGAAGAGGGGAAAGGTAAGAAGAGGGGATTCAAACTGAACAAGGCATGCAGAGAAATGTGCACAGCATTGCACACGAGTACATGCAGATGTGCATGGGCAAGCCGGGGAAGGACATGAAATGGGATCAGCGTGTGATGAGGACGAGTTTCGAGTCTTCGTCTTCCCACTGGCTCTGCATCAGCAGTGGCCGGCACCCGTCTGGCACACGCTTCTTCTCGCCACTCGCTGCAGGTTTGAGGGAGGGGGTGTGTGAACATGGGCATGCGTTTGTGGGTGAGGATTTGCGTATGCGCTTGTGAGTGAGGGTGTTGTGTTTGACAGGGTACGTTTCACTTCTCTCTCTCTCTCTCTGTGTGTGTGTGTGTGTGTGTGTGTGTGTGTGTGTGTGTGTGTGTCAGCGGAGAGTGATCACGTCTTGCGCTCGTGCAATCACACACAATCACACGCAATCACACACCTGAGACAAGGAACAGAGCGTATGCATCGCTGTTGTCTGCTGGAAGCTGCATCTGCACACCGCGACCAACATCAGCGATGGAGCAATCAAGATAAGCTATGATGAGACGTGCGGGGCAAAAAAGCATGTGGCAAACACGCACACACACACGCACACACACGTACACACACACACGTATACACACACACACACGTATACACACACATGCACGCACACGTCCATACACACACACCTCCTCGATGAGGGTCTTGGTGACGCGGGAGGCGGCGGTGGTGTGGGGGACGTACACCTTGTGGCGAACAAGGGCAGTCTCATCGTCTCGCGACTGCGCAAAGACCGTCAACAGGCCTGTGCACACATGTGCGATGTTGCAGGAGGGGGAGGGGAACCGTAGTTGTGAGATCGAGCATACGACAATGCAGTGCAAACGACTGCAGGCGCAGGCACCAGCCACACATGCACGCACACGTCGCAGATGCATGTATGCACGCAAATGAACGCACCTTTGCCCTGAGTGTCTGTGGCGAGGCGGAGAGAGCTGTTTCTCTTCGATTTCTTCTCCGTCGTGGATGGCCGCTGTCAAATATTAACACACAAGCACACGCACACACGCACACGCGCACACAAGCACACACGCACACACGCACACACGCACATGGAAGTGTCAAACACGCACGTGAGGTGACCAAGTCAACAAGGCGCAGCCACAGCTGTAGCTGTCGTTGTTGTTGTTTCAATCAATTGCACACACACGCACACGCACGTGCCACGTACTCGTTCTGGTGCTTCTGGTCGCACCCGCACCCGCTTCTTCAAATCCTGCGCGGAAATCCACGCGACAGCGGCAGGGCAGGGGGAGGAGGGGGCGAGGAGTGTTGATTAGTTGCACAGGAGCGGAAATTGCATCACAGCATCCCTCACGAACCGAACCAACGACGAACGCACAGCACAGCCTACGCATTATTCATGGCACATGCGTACACACACATACACACACACACATACACACACATACACACACACATACATGCAAACACACACTCACTCACCCCGAGCGTGACGAATGACTGCGTCTTTGCGGAGTCCTTGCACCAGCGGACGACATCGGAGAAGAAGCGCGCCTTGTGCCAGGCATTGTCCAGTCTGGACGCACGTGCACGTGTTTCAGTTGCAACAATGCAATATAAGCGCAATTAGCGGTGGAGTTCGGGCGGTGGAGGGGATAATGTCAGGACGACAGGCGAGCTGGCACGCCCGTGTCGTGCAACACACGGTGTACACCACACACACACACACATACACAACACAACACGGTGTACACCACACACACACACACATACACACAACACAACACGGTGTACACCACACACATACACAACACATACACACATACACAGCACAATCAATACACACGGTGTACACCACACACACACACACATACACACAACACAACACGGTGTACACCACACACATACACAACACATACACACATACACAGCACAAATCAATACACACGGTGTACACCACACACACACACACATACACAACACAACACGGTGTACACCACACACACACACATACACAACACAACACGGTGTACACCACACACACACACACATACACACAACACAACACGGTGTACACCACACACATACACAACACATACACACATACACAGCACAATCAATACACACGGTGTAAACCACACACAACGACACACACACACACACGAACACATGACACGCGACACACGCCAGCAACAACAAGTGGGCAGGAGCTGTACCGCTCGAGGGCGCGTTGTGCGACGGAGAGGATGCCGTCAATCTCTTTCGCTTGCGGGCCCAACGCCTTTCGCAGCGCAAACTGCAAAGCAATCACCTGGCTGCTGGCGGAGAGCCACAGCCGCGCATACTGCTGAGTCAGCACGGGCTGGAACCGCTGCCACATCAGCAGCTCAAGCGACCTGGGGGTCAGTGTGATGGTGGTGGTGGTGAGAAAGTGATCAGATGACACATACCGTTTGTTGTTGTTGTTGTTGTTGTTGTTGTTGAAGTTGTTGTTTAAGTTGTTGTTGTTGTTGAAGTTGTTGTTGAAGTTGTTGTTGAAGTTGTTGTTGTTGAAGTTGTTGTTTAAGTTGTTGTTTAAGTTGTTGTTGAAGTTGTTGTTGTTGTTGAAGTTGTTGTTGTTGTTGTTGTTGAAGTTGTTGTTGAAGTTGTTGTTGAAGTTGTTGTTGAAGTTGTTGTTGTTGTGGTGGTGGTGGTAGAAGGGCTGCGTCTGCACGCTTCCAAGCAAGTCACACGCGATCTTGCACACTCGCAAACACACTTACAATCACAGACACACAGCCCCAACCCTACCCCTCTCCACAAACAGACAGCGCCAATACCAGCTCTGTCCCGTACTTTGCTGCGAGGGTGATGTGCTGTCTTGATTCGGCGACGGCCACCGCCTTTGTGTCTAGTGAGTAGTCCTCGTCCGGCACGACTACCAGCAGCGATGTCGACGCGTTCAACTCAATCACTTCGGGCGTGTACAGCCGATACTGCATGCGAGCAAGCGGCGAATGGGTGGACATGGGTACGATGTGTGTGAGTGCGAATGGCCGTGTGTCTTTTGCATGTGTATGAGGGAACAACCGCTCCATGAGTTTACCCTTCTCATCTCGCTTCCACCCCCATCACGACGACCAACACCGCCAGCCAAGAGTGGGTGGTTTCATCGCCGCCGTCTCACCTTGAGAGCGGATGTCTCGTCCACCCTCGACTCCTGCAGGAGCTTTGGTCCGGTCTCCAGAATGCGCTGGGCAAGCTCGCTCCCTGAGCGTTGGCAGGACGGACAGATGCACAGGTGCACAGGCGCACAGGCGCACAGGTGCACAGGTGCACAGGTGAGCGCTGACGCATATATTCATTAGGTGTCAGGTGGTGGGCACACCACAAAACACACCGGGCCAATAACAGAAGGACAGCACAACAACAACACAAACGACAGTGTAACCCAGAGACAACGCAACAACACCACACAATGACAATGCAACAGCATAGAACAATGCAGGACACAGCCCACCGTGTGTTGCTGTGCCCGAGCGATCATGTGTTGTGGTGCCGTTGGTCTCCGCCTTTCGCAAAAACGTCCACTCGTCCTTGGAGACGTGGTTGTGTGCACGCAGCCTGCAGGGGCAAGCACAGAGTGTGCAGGACGTGGGAAAGGCGTTTGAATTGCAGCAGAGAAAGCAGGGCCGTGTTCGTGAAAATGGCGCGAACGTGGACAGATGGGGGTGGGGTGGGGGAGAGGATGAACACGCGCGACGGCGAGAACACAAAGATCGGCATAACAAGGCGGTAAGCCGCGCCTTTCCACACACACACACACACACACACACACACACACACACACACACACACACATACACACACATCACACACACACACGCACACACACACACGCACGCACACACACACACACATCACACACGCACGCACACGTGTGCAGTGAGCGAACCTGTGGCACGGGGGAAGGTTTGGACTGCTCTTGCGCGTGGAGATGCGCAGGCCGTTGACGGTGCTGTGGGGAAACACAGATGCAAGGTAGAGGCCGGGCTGCAGTGGATCCAGACACCCGCGGCCATACTCAACCATGGACGACAGGGCACCAAGCAGGTTGCTGTTGTCCTGTGAAGTGCAGTTGGTCGTGGTGGTGGTGGTGGTGATTGTGGTGGTGGTCGTCGTCGTCGTCGTGGTCGTTGTTGTGGTCGTGGAAGAGGGCGTCGACAGCAGGTGGGATGTGCGGTTGACACATGCGCGAGTGAGATGCCGGAATGTCGGGATAGGGGACGTCAATTAAGCACGTGCACACTCAAAGCAGAATAACCCGCACAACAAGCATGTTCTGGGCAAATTTCACACATGCACACATTCACACAAACGCAGCACATACAAACAAGGACACAAACAAGAACACGCGCACACACACGCACGCACAAAACAAACACACATACACACAAACATACATGTAGACACACACACAAAAAAAAAACCAAGCAAACTGACCTTGAGCGCGGATGACGAGGTCCACGTGAGGTTTGTCTTGACATCAGCGCGGGCGACACCGCTGCATGCGACGATGGTGGTGGCGCCACACTCCTCCACGAGCGGCTGGAAGTACACAACACCGAGATTGACGGCACCGACCGCGTGCTGGATGGCGGCCACGGCCTCGGCGGCGCGGCGGCGGGTGTGGAGCGAGTGCACGTCCCCGCTGAGGAGCGACATGAAGCGCGAGAAGCGCCACGAGAACGACAGCATCTGCAGGAACTGCAGCACAGAGAGAGGGGGGAGGGGAGAGATGGGTGGTGTAGTGTGGTGTGGAAGAAGCACTTGTGAGGACTGAAAATGGCACTTCGATACAAACATACACATGTACATATGTACACGCAAACGCACATGCACGCACACCCATACACACGTACGTATACACACGCGCACACACACATACACATACACACACACGTATACCCATGCACGAAAGCGCGCTCTCGTGAACGTTTGTCAAACCTGCACGATGGCTGCGACGTCCTGTGTGCCAATGTGCTCGTCAACGAGGACACACGGGAGAGTGGACCCGTGCGCCAGCACCGAATTGCGGTCGTTGCGGTCAAACACACACGCAGCAAAATACAGCCCGCTGTGAAGAGCAAGGCGAGATGCACATGGAAGCGCATCAGCACATGTAGATGAGGAAAGAGTGAAGTGGCATTGAACAGCTTGGACATGACAAAGAGAGAAGAGTCATTGCACGACAAAACATGCGCACAGAAATCCGCACACATACACACACGCACGCGCACCGCTTTGTTGGTTTTGTCAACTTGAGTGAATGGCCAAACTTCTGGTTCTTCTTTGGCAGCGGCAGCGTGTCCAAGAGAAGGCCCTCGCCAGCCTGGCATGTGTTGCGACAGCCGTTCAGCATGGGGCGGGGCCCAAGTTGAGGTGAGGTGAGGTGAGGTGAGGTGAGGTGAGGTGAGGTGAGGGGACGCAGCAGGAAGCACACAGTATAATCACACACAAGGGAGCGTACACAATGCCGCACAAAGGCACACAAGCCATGCAGCACAAGCACTGTGAGCACCACACCGCGTTGCTTTTGTTCCTTTCCAACAATCAACGCCAACAACGACATCCACGCACATCCACGCACCAATTGCTCCTCGATGCTTGCAAGCTCCCTGTGCAGCGGCTCGATGCGTGAGGGCGTATTGTCGACCTCTCGCCACGACGACGGCACCAGGAACGGCGGCGTCGACTGCACAGCAGGGCCCACCCCTGTCGGCACACACGCACCGTGCACGTGAGCAAGCAGAGGGGAGGGGGGTGTTGGGTGAGGGATAGGGGTAAGGACGGGAGCAGTCGATGAATATGGTAAGGTGGTGATGCTGAGGAACAAACACACACACACACACACACACACAAAACACTACAGGGTGGAAGCATTTGCAGCAGCACAATCACATCAACACATTCACATTCGCGCACGTGCACGAGCGGGTGACCACGGCAATTACCGGTCATGTTACAGCTGGCGACGCGCACAAAGCACGGTTTGCCCTGCACAATCAAAGGAATGCGCCCACCGCAACAAGGGTCGTCAGCTGTCAGGTGGAAGCGCACACATTGACAGAGTGGCGCGCTCACCCATGCACGCTCGCACACACACACACACACACACACACACACACACACACACACACACACACACACACACACACACACACACACACACGCACGCACACGCACGCACCCACACACATATACACACACGCACATTCACACACGTACACAAGACCAACGCGCTCGCACCTGTGGGAGTTGTGTGAGTGTGAAATCGGAGACAACGGCTGGAATGAAGATGTGTTCCGCGTCCTCAAAGGAGGGGGAGTTGCTCCACAGCACTAATAAAAGCAAAACACACGATGGCAGTCACATCAAGGTGAGGTGGTGGTGTGCTTGCACGTGCACGCACATTCACACGAAGCTGGGGCACCAAACGTTCGTTGAGTACACCAACTCTCCAACCTGCCACCTGCACGCTCTTCCTGTCCTCTGTTCCTCCAACACCACCAGCAACACCAGCACCACCGGCACCTTTGTATCGGGTGACGACTGCGCCGCCATGGTCAAGGACGTCGGAAATGTGGACAGTGATTGCGTCAGGAGCACTGGTAGAGAGGCGCACGTTGCGTGGTGCGGCGGGCTTGCCGGCACTGCGGTATACCTTGTGCCACTTGCGATACAGCGACACAGACCGCTCGCAGATGACCCGACTCTCCTCGTGCTCCTGAAGAGGGCGAGGTGAGTGAGCGTGTGTGTACGTGTGTGTATGTGTGTGTGAGTGAGGTGAGTGAGTGAGTGTGTGTGTGCGTGAACACGTGTTAGCGTGATGATAAAGAAAGAGAAGGCGGCAGTCATCAAGACGGAACAATACACCGTGCTGTGCAAACATGATCAAGACGGAGCAATACACCGTGCTGTGCAAACATGATCAAGACGGGAGCAATACACCGTGCTGTGCAAACATGATGAGGATTTGCCACCCATCTCCTCTCCTGTCACAATCCGCCTCCAAGACTGGGCTGTTGTGCACCTGGTACAGATTTCTTGCGCCGGCCTTGATGTCGTCCAGGATTTTCCCCAGCGCAATCTGCCCAGTGCAAACATCGACCACACCAAGAGAAGGAAAGAGAGAGAGAGAGAGAACACAAGTGAGCGCCAGCCAGCGGTCGTCGCGTGTGTGTGTGTGTACCCTCCCCCTCCCCCTCCCCCAAAAAAATCATGCCTGACCTGCTTTGCACGCAGCAGCACCTCCAAGCGGCGCTCCCGCACTTTTGGATCCACATCTGCCACCACAGCACCATCACATGCACGTGAGCTCAAGTCCAATTGCTGTGACGAGGGAACACCTCACACCTGGCAACACACACACATACACACATATGCACACATACACACACGCACACCCAAAAAGGCAGCATCACCGTCCTCGCAACCACGCATGTGAACGAACAAGCAACCAAAGCGCAGACACGCAATGTGACTGTGGCAGCAACGCACATGCTTCTGTTTCGACACCGCCGTACAGCTGCAGCAGCTTGACGCAGCCAATCTGGTTGAGCATGACCGCAAGGTCAAGCAGCGTGTGGCCGTCAGCATCGCACCTGGTGTTCCCACATGTGAGGGGGGACAGAGAGTGTGAGTGAGAATGTGAGTGAGAGGGTGAGGGTGAGTGAGAGTGTGAGTGCGAGTGTGAGTGTGAGTGTGAGTGTGAGTGAGAGTGAGCAAGGACGACATTGGGCGTAAAGGCATGGAAGTGGGACGTGCCAGGAGGAAGGGGTGCTGCATGTGGAGAAGCACGAATGCTGGCGTAACACAAGGCAAGCACACAGAACCCACCACAACAAGCTCAGCCAATGTTCACACACAGGTGCGCCCACCAACATGCACATGCACGTGCACACGCACAGCCAGCCACACACACACACACACACACGCAAGGATCGAAGGGTACGCACGCGTTGGCGTCGACACTGTCTGATTCGAGGAGCTCGCTCAGCCGCTGCAGACGGCCCTGCTCAATGCTCTCAATGGCCTCCTGCACGTGCTGTCGCGTGTCCTCTTTGCCGCGCCGCTTTGATGGGGTGTCGCTGCGCAGGATGGTGCGGAGGAGGCGGCTGGACGGCGTGCGCGGGGCACTGCGGCCGCTCTGCTGCGACGATGATGAGGACTGCCGCGACATGGCGCGCGGCGTTGCGGGCGCCGTTGCCGGCATCCGGGGCGTGGGTTTGTTGGTGCGCTTGTCGTCGATCATTGGCGACTGTGGCGGCTGTGGGAGGCGGCGCGTGCGCCTGGCCACCACCTCCTCAAACGCCTTCTGCTGATCGCGGCAGAGCACATTCACGTCGCCCAGGTTCTGCGCACCCACATGCAAAAAGTGCTCAAAGTCCACGGGCAGGCTGATGTTGGGGTTCTGGTCCTCCAGCTCTGATTCGCTGATGTCTTGCCCGCGCCGGTACGGCATGTGCTCGCCGTCCTGCAGCGGGGAGGGCGGTGCCCGTTGGGGAGAGCTCATGGCTCACTCTATTCACGTTGGCGAGGCTGCCCCTCCCTGGATTAGTCCCTTGCGTGAGTGTTCGGCTGATGTCGCGCTGGTGGGTGGGTGGATGTGTAGATCGGATGGGCTGCTGCTCTGGATTGCCGGTGGCTGGTTGGTTGGCCTTGGCCTTTTGGTCGCGGAAACTTGCCAGCAACACAGCAGCTGGCCGTTGTCAGAACGTAACTAAGCTCCAATTGGCAGCTTCACGTGTGTGTGTGTGTGTGTGTGTGTGTGTGTGTGTGTGTGTGTGTGTGTGTGTGTGTGTGTGTGTGTGTGTGAGAGTTTGGGCTTGGGTGCAGGCCTTGGCTCCTCCTGCTTTCTGTCCAGGGTTGTTCGAGTCCTCTTTCAACACCCCCAACACGCACGCGCACGCACGTTTACCTCGTCTTCAAGGGCTGCTTTGGGGGCTGCGAGACTTCACACAACACAACACAACCCACCAGACAGATGGCCGGCAGCGGAGATGACGCCAAGGACACGATTCCGAGAGGCGGGAAGATGCCTGCTTGGTTGCGGAAAGGACCAGACACCTGGCGTTGTGTTTGTGGTTGTTGCTTGTTTGTGGGTGTGTGTGGCTGGCTCGTTCTGGCTGGCTGGGTTTTTTGGGCGAACAAGATTCCGGCTTATTCGGCAAAGATTTACAACAATCCTCTACAATCACATCCAGCCATTTTTGTGGTGTCGCAGAGCAACACAACAACATCGCACACCGCCGCACGGCAATGGTAATGGTGCTTGAGCTGGTTCCATACGGCAGGGACCGGTCGTCTGAGTGGCGGTGGTTGGCAGCTGTGTGTGTCAACACTTGACTGTGCTGCATGCATTGTTGGCTTAACCTTGGTGGCTTTTTTCATTGCTTGGTTTTCTTTCTATCTAGCCGCAGCTTGCTGCTTGGTGACGTGTCCGCCTTCGTTTCCGTTTGTGTGTCTGTTTGTTTGTCTTGCAGGCTGACACACCCAAACCTGCCACCACCACCACGACACCTGTCACCGACAGCGCTGCAGCGCCAGCGCCAGTTCGGTACAACTACTACCAGGTACGACGGTTGCTCAGGGGGTTTGATGTGCATTTTTTGTGCTTGGCTGTGGGTTGCTCAACGCTGGTCGTCGAACAGGACATGCCTTCACCCTTGGCTGCGCTCGCTCTTGGCCATGGTCGCTCTTGGCTGCGTCCGCTGACCTTGGCTGTGGTCGCCGTGATCCATTCGCTGGCCTTGTTTTCATTTTTTCCGCGCTTGTGCTGTGCGCACGTCGTGTTTGTTGTGCTTTGTGTGTGATAGTCAAACACGGAGGTGGTGGTCTCCTTTGTGCTGAAGAAGCTGAAGCCAGAGGATGTGCAGGTGACACTGACGTCGACACACCTCACGCTCCGTGCCAAGCTGCCGGACGGCACAGAGGCCCTCTTTGATGAAGACCTCTTCTCAGACGTGGAACCCGACTCGTACACCTTGCGCGTTGTGCCAGTCAAGGTGAGCCACGGATATGTGTGGGTGGGTGCATGTGTGTGTGTGTGTGTGTGTGTGTGTGTGTGTGTGTGGGTGTGTGTGTGGGTGTGGGTGTGGGGAGTGGGTGGGTGTGTGGGTGAGTGCGTGGGTGGGTGTGGGTGTGGGTGTGGGTGTGTGGGTGTGGGTGAGCAAGTATGTGCATGTGCGTTTGTGTGCGAGCAAGTATGTGCATGTGCGTTTGTGTGCGTGCAAGTAAGTATGTACATGTGCGTCTGTCATGACGGTTGCCTTCAACCGCAACGAAAACACCTGCTCAACGCCGTGGTGTGCCGGCCGCTTGTTGCCGCTTCTCAGGTGGAGATGAAGCTGAAGAAGAAGACACGCATGCACTGGTCCGACTTTGTCAAGCCAAAGAGCGTAGAGCAGGCCCCAAAGCCCGCTCGAAAGCCGCGCACAACCGCAGACTGGGACCGCCTCGGTGTGTGTGTCTGTGTGTCTGTGTGTCTGTGTCTGTGTGTCTGCGTGTGTCTGTGTCTGTCTGTCTGCCTGCCTGCCTGCCTGCCTGCCTGTGAAAGTGTGCTTGTGTGATGTACAATTCGCACTGACGGCAGCCACTCACCTCAATGCCTTCCAACACGTGGGCCTATTGTCCTCTGCGACTGGTGCCACCGCTGCGGCGATGATGCTATTCAGGGCGGGAAGTTGAGGAGGAGGAGAAGACCGAGAAGCCGGAGGGCGAGGCCGCAATGCAGAAGCTCTTCCAGCAAATCTACGGCGACGGTCCGCTGCCGCTCAATGGGTGTTGGTGTTGTGTGTTGTGTGTTGTGTTTTGTGTTGCTGTTGTGTTTTGTGTTGCTGTTGTGTTGTGTGTTGGTGTTGTGTGTGTTGGCGCACATAGCCTCAGGGTGCTACGCCCGCTGCTTCACTTGCCCTTGATCACCTTCGCCGCCAGACCTCATCTCCTCACACGCCCATCCCCATTTCATCGTGCCACGTGTGTAGGAAGCGATGAGGTGAAGCGGGCGATGATGAAATCGTTTGTGGAGAGCAACGGCACCGTCCTCAGCACAAACTGGGACGAGGTCAAACAGTCAAAGGTCCGTACATGCTTGTCCTGTGCGTGTGTCTGTCTCTGTCTGTGTCTGTCTCTGTCTCTGTCTGTCTGTCTGTCTGTCTGTCTCTGTCTGTGTCTGTGTCTGTGTGTATGTGTGTGTGTGCTTGTCTCGCCCCCGCCCCTCTCCCACTCTCTCCTCCATCCCACTTCTTCGAGCCTGCTCACGGTTGGTGCATCGCATTCTACTTCCCCCCCCCCTTCCCGCTGTGCTGGCCGTTGCAGGTGGAGGTGAAGCCCCCGGATGGGGTGGAGTTCAAGCCGTTCAAGTGAACGACAGCAGCAAACCAAACCAACAGCTCTACATTCCATCTTGATCCCCCTCCCACACACACACACACACACACACACACACACACACACACAGCCACGCGGATCAGGCACAAACTACATACCAGCTTTTGTGCCCTTTCCAGCGTTCACTGTTTGCTTATTTTTGCACTCTTTCATCTTCCACAACACATAGCAGACTCATACGCACCCACATGCACATAACACTCATATGCACATGCACACACAACTGCATATGCATACACACCCTCTCCATTTCCCCCCTCTGTGTTGTCGTTCCATGTTACATTACACCCGCTGATTCGCGCAATTGTGAACGTATAAAACCGCGCAATCCCGCGCATCCCTCGTGTGTGACGAATGACTGACTCTTCTTCTTGTTGTTCTGTTTGTTTGTTGTTTGTTATTGTGAAGATGGACCAGTACGACAGGGAGTGAACAAGACAACGGGTGGCGTGCTCCTACAACCCGCAAACACACCACGTCATCCACATACACACGCACACATACATGGAAGGTACTCGCTTGTGCGCACAGCACAGCAGCATCGTAACGACATGAACACACACGATCTTCACCAGCCGTCAAACCAATGCAAGGCACGACACCCAAACACGACAGGGTGTCACCCTTCACCCTTAACACCGGACACAAACATCATCCACAAGCACAACAACTGCTTCGCACACCATGCATCAGCTCACGTGTACATGAATGCATGTGCATGCGTGTATGTGTGTGAGTGTGCGCGCGCGCGCGAGTGTTGTTGTTGCTGCTGCTGCTGTTGCTGTTGCTCAGCGCTTGAAGGCGGGCGAGGCCTCCACCGCCGTGTGCACATCCACCATCTTCTCGGAATCGCGCGGGTCTGGCCACACAACACGGCGTCATCGTGGTGGGAGGGTGGTGTGAGATGATGGGCTCGCTTGGCATTGATTCACCAACATACCGTTGACACCAGCAAAAGCAAGGTTGTCTAAACAGACATGCAGTTGCGCCAAACACACAGTTACAACAACCACACGGTCTACACACACAAGACACGCCGTCACACCGTTGAGGAAGTCGTCAAAGTCCATGACGCCCAGGCGGCCCGTGGAGACGTCGAGGGCGAGGTGTGAGCTGTGCAGCGACGGCAGGCGCTGGTTCTGCAGTTGCACAAGCACATCAACCACACACACGCACACGCACATGCACACGTGCACGTGTTGGGCACAGTGAACAAGCTCGTGAGCAGGTGTGGTTTGAGACATGCACAAAGTGCCGCAACGCCGTTTGTGGTGGTGGTGATGTTTCCTCTCTTCGTGTGCACTTGACCCCCGGGGTGTGACAAACCTGTGCATAGATGGCCCGCTCCAGTTTCACGAGCTGCGGCGCAGCAGGGCCCTGGGAAACAAAACACAGCAGATACATGCGTGACATTGATGAGATGACAAGCGACGGATGACAGTTGTAAGCATGGCTGTACCGTGCATGTGCATGTGTGTGCGTGCAGCGGTGGGAATCGCACTCCAGCCACAGTGTGTGCCTGTGGCGACGGACGCCTTGGTGTGATGGTGTACCTGGATGGCGCCCATGATGCTCATCTTCAGCTTCTCATGGTGTGCTTCGTGCTGTACCAAACCCAACAAACCAAAACAGGCGCGTGATGGTGGTGAGTCGGTGGGTGGCGATGGTGAGTGGTGGTGAGTGGTGAGAGTGTGGGTGTCAAGGCGAAAAGGCGGCTAGGGAGAGCGTTGGTGTTGCGACGAAACAAACGCAAAGCAAGGAGCAGGGACATGCGAACGTAACGTGTTTGTCAAACACACGCTCGCGCGCGGTGGCAGGGAAGCGCGAGCCTGCCGCGCGCGAGCCTGGCGGCAACGCTCGACACCATTAACAGCCCCAAGCTCTCTCACCTTTGCCTGTGCCACTTCGACAGGATGCTTGGGGGCGACCTCGGCCCGTGCAGAAGTCGGCCTGCAACAAACAAAGCGTGCCATGTCAAGCACGCACGTCAGACATAAGGAGTTCATACAAGGACGTACGTTGTCCACACTCACAAGTACACACTTATTCACACTCACAAGTACACACAAACGCACCCTTTGCGAAGGGTGTCGTGGCATCCAAAGGGCCCGGAGGTGGGTTGTGTGTTCAGCGGCGCATCGCCTTCAGGGCGGATGGTGGGAAAGTGGCGGCTCTGTTTTGTCACAGCAAGAAAGAAAGAAAGAAAGAAAGAAAGAAAGAAAGAAAGCGACAACAACACATGAGAAGCAAACACCCACAATCGACCCATCTCTTGATTGATCAAAGCTGTGTTCGCGTGTGTATCTCTCTCTCTCTCTCTCTCTCTCTCTCTCTCTCTCTCTCTCTCTCTCTCTCTCTCTCTTTCCCCGGTTTCTCTCGCTGCGCGCACGCATGCATCCGCGTGTCTAATTCCTCCATGCACGACACCAAACAGCAACCCGTCGCCACACAACCACACCATCTTGCTTGCTTGCTTGCTTCTTGTGTTCCTTCCGTTGTTTGTCGATCAAATGCAAAAAGTCAAAATTGACCAACAGCCATAAAGTCAAATTTGCCTTCTCCTGAACACACACCCCTTTCTCTTTTCCCCACCTCCCGCCGTTGATGTTGTGTCTTTTGCCTTGAGCATTCATGCACATCAATCCAACACACACACACACACACACACACACACATACAAGTGGCACAAGGTTTCAACGTCCGCCCTTTGCGACCTCGCCATCACCAGTCGAGGCTACTTGCGGTGCCATTGTCAGGCCCTCGGTCCTGAAAAGGTGAAGGATATGCGTGCGTCTCTCTGTGTGTGTTGGTTTGCTGGTGTCTCACAGAGATTAGTTTGTTTGCTTTGCACGCCGCCTTCAAGTCAACTTGTTGTTCATCGCTCTCACACACACTCACGCACATCCACACACACACTCACGCACATCCACACACACACACATCCACACACACACTCACGCACATCCACACACACACATCCACACCCACACACACGCACATCCACACACACACTCACGCACACACACACACACACACACACACACAAACTTTCTCTCGCACACGTACGCCATAAAGGGGTTGCAGGTGCGCCCCGTACGAGCCCAGAACAAAATGACAGCGGAAAGGTGGCCAGCGATGGCACGTGTGGTGGCCATGCTGTGCCTGCTTGCGCTCTGTGTCGTGAGTCCCGCACACGCCACAACACAGCTGAGCATCCAGAGGCAATGCGCCTCCTTGGCGCAGGGCGAGGACTGCGCCGTTGCGCGGGAAGGCGACGCCCTGTCCGTGCTCGTGTCCGCATCGGAGCCCTTGCCCAGCAACGTCATTGTTGAGATCACCGTCGACCCCATCCAGACGCAGACGCTGGAGTCTGACGACTTCTTCCCCATGCAGGCACAGTTTGCCCTGTTTGCCGGCAGCTCCTCTGCGTCGTGGGTGTTTGTGGTTGAGTCAAACGATGGGCCAGAGCTCAACGAGACCTTCGCCTTGCGCCTCAGCCTCCTTGCGCCCGTTTCCGGCGTCTCCATAGCCCAGGACGCGTTCACCGTCACCGTCCCGCTCAACGAGAATCCGTACGGCACCATCGCCTTCATCAACTTTGGTGGTCCCAGCGGGCCCACCGTCACAAGCGAGGGCAGCGCGCTCATTGCCGTCATTGGGCGGTCTGGCGGCCGCTTTGGCGAGCAGACCGTGGCGTGGGAGATCGGCGGCGGCGAGGACGACTTTGCCCTCGCATCGGGCACCCTCGTCTTCGACCAGGGCGACTCCTCCGTCAACCTCATCATTCCCGTCATCAACGATGACGTGCCTGAGCTGCAGGAGTCGTTTGTGCTCAGCCTCACCCAGGTTGTCAGCGGCGGCGCCTCCCTCTCCGCCAACTCCGACCTGACCAGCATGGACGTCGTCATCAGCGCCAATGACTACCCGCTGGGCAGCTTCTCCTTCGCCCTGGCAGAGCTGGGCGTGCGCGAGAAAACAGGCACCGCCAGCCACGCCGCCGCCCTCACCATTGCCCGTGCTTCCGGCGCGCTGGGTACGGCGCAGGTCCTCGTCGAGACAACCAGCGACGCCAGTGCGGTCTCTGCCGCCGTCCAGAGCAGCTTCGACTGGTTCGCGGACGACCCGCTCGTCCTCGCAACAGCAACACCAGCGCAGGACTACACCCCTGTCTCTCGGGTTGTCACCTTTGCAGAGGGCCAAACAACGGCAACCGTCCTCGTACCGCTGAGCACGGACGCTGTCGCGGAGCCGAACGAGGCCTTTGTTGTAACTCTGGCGCTGTCTGGTACCGCCGAAGGCACCGCCGCAGCGCGTGTGTTTGAAAACTCGTCCATGCTCGTCGTCATCCAAGCGAGCGACGTCGCTGGCGGCCAATTCCAGTTTCAGCTCAACACCGCAACCGCCAGCAGCGGTGCTTCACCCGTGGTTGTCATTGCAGAGCCCGATGAGGACGCACTGCAGCCGCACGTGGCCATCTTCAACGTTACCCGCACCGGCGCCGCGTTTGGCGAGGCACGCCTCGAGTGGGCAGCAACGTCCAACAACACAGCGTCCGCGCCGAGATCGGGCGTGCTGGGGTTTCAGCCAGGCCAAACATGGGCCTTGCTCGAGTTTGAAGTCGCCGCGGATGACATCCCAGAGTTTACGGAGGAGTGGGCGCTGCAGCTGACACGGGCCAGCAGCATCAGCTTCAGCGCAGACCAGGCAGCGCTGGGCACAAGCACGACGGCGCGGGTCATCGTACCGCGCAATGACTTCCCAAACGGCCTGCTGCAGCTCGAAGACACCGCCTCCATCAGTCTGCTGGAAGGCAGCACGCACCCGCTCAGCGTCGCCGTGCAGCGCCTGTGGGGAACGCACGGCACCGTCACCGTGGACTGGCGCGTGGCACCGTCAGCGGCAGCACTGGCATCGGCATCCCCGGACGTGGTGGAATTTGGGTCCCCTGCGGACAACCTGGACAGCTGGCGCGGCACGCTCGTGTTTGAGGACGTACAGACGACCGGGCACATTGTCATCGCTGCGACTGACGATGACATCCCGGAGCTGAGGCAGGTGTTCACGCTGACGCTCGGCAACGCCACCAACGGCGCCGTCATCTCCACGGCGCACCCCAGCGCATTCGCAATCGACTTTGCCATTGAAGCGAGTGACGCGCCCCTGGGCGTGTTTGAGCTGGGCGCCGCGTATGTCTCCGTGCCTGAGCCGTCGAACGATCTCTTCCGCACGGCGTCCGTCGCCATCACGCGCACGACAACAAGGGGCAGCGTGCTTGTGCGCTACCGCATCCTGGCGGGCGCACCTGGCATTGCGGCCGCCTCGCGTGGGGTGGACTACATTGACGCCGTCTCTGCACTCCTCTTCACGGAGGGTCAGGCATCACAGGCGGTCAGCGTCACCGTCCTGCACGACGACGAGCCCGAGGCGGACGAGGCACTGCAGCTTGTGCTCGAGAGCGTGCGGCCCATCAATCAGGACCTCACCCACGCCACCGCCCTCGGCAACCAGACCGTTTGCACGGTCGTGATTCCCGCCAACGACATGGCATCGGGCGTCTTCTCCTTTGAGCAGCCGGACCAAGCGCTTGTGGTCGTGCGTGAGCCCGAAGCGGGCGAGCAACCCGCCGGCATTGTCGTCAAACGCAATGCGGGTGCGTTTGGTGCAGTGGAGGTTGCGTGGCACCTCGCCACGAGTGACGCCGCGAGCTTCTCCACCCTCAACGGCACCCTGACGTTTGAAGAAGCGGCCATCAACGCCACACTGGTTGTCCCCATCGTCCCCGACGATGTGCCGGAGCTGGAGAGCACGCACATCCTCACGCTCACCAGCATCTCTGGCGGCTACACAAACCAGTCGGCCTTTGCGCCCCAAGGCACGCGCAAGACAATTGTCGTGCCTGCGAGTGACGATGCAAATGGTGTTCTGGCCATCGCACCCGACTTTGGTGCCTCTGTTACGCTTGCAGAACCCCCATCGCCCGGCGAGGAAGGTACAGGGGCGATTGCTCCGAGCACGCTGCTGGTGCCCGTTGTTCGCACACGCGGCGCCTTTGGCATTGTGCAGGCCCAGTGGGAGATTGTCCCGCAGTCTCCAGCACCACCACCAACAACAACAACAATGACAACGACAGCACCGCCACCAGCCTTTGTGCGTAGCAGTGGCGTGGTTACTTTTGGGGATGGTGTGCGGGAAGCATCCATTGCAATTTCCGTCGCTGACGATACGCTTCCCGAGCTGGACGCTGCCTTTACACTGCGGCTGATCAACGCCACCGGTGGTGCGAGGCTCAAAACCGACGCGGAGTATGCTGCGAATGGCAGTGGCGGTGACGACGGCAGCAGCGATAGTGGCATCACAAATGGCACCGTTGCACTGACAGTCCTCGCCAGCGACGACCCGTATGGGGTGGTTGGCGTTCGCAACGACTCGCTCACGCTGCGGGTTCAGGAGGAAGACGGCAGCATGACGGTGTTTGTGCACCGCGCCCAAGGTACAGTGGGCCGCACAACGGTTGGCTGGGAGCTCCGGTCTGCCCTAACTAGCACCATCACCGCACTGCACCCGACATCTGGGGTGGTGGTGCTTGAGCAAGGCGTCGCCTCTGTTCCCATCATCATCAGCATCGAGGACGACACAATCCCAGAGTACCAGGACGAGTTTGTGCTTGCGCTGACGGAGCTGAGCGGTGGCGCGCGCTTCGATGCACAGCGCATCCTGGCCAGCATCACCCTGGAGGCAAGCGACTTCCCACACGGGCTCTTCAGCGCCAACATCACCGGTGCAAGCGGTGCTCATGTCGCGTTCGACGACACCTCGGCTCCATTTGACGTCCACCTGTCGGCTGATGGCACCGTTGTTCCTTCCGTGGAGCAAGGCACCTTTACCCTGCGCGTTATCCGTGCGGTGGCGGTGTCAGAGCCGGCAGCCGTCACCATCTCCGTGACGCGCACGTTTGGCACCGAGGGCACTGTGCAGGTTCCTGTGGAGCTCATTGGGGCGCGGGAGCTGCAGAACCAAAGCAGCGACGATGGCGGTGACCCTGACAATGGCGCAGCAGCGCCGAATGCAAACTATGATTACAACCAAACGGCCTCAGCTTTTGCCGACACCGGTCCCGGTGGCGACGTTTTGTTGAGCACAAGCAGCGTCATCTTCGAGGACGGCGAAACGCACAAGCAACTTGTGCTAAGCGTGCTTGAGGACGCTGTGCCAGAGGTGACCGAAGTGGTGTGGGTTGTGCTGGGCTCGCCCGTGCTGCTTGAGACGACCGCCACGCAGCCCGCTGAGCCAGCAATCATGGCCGGCGACGTGCTGCAGGTGGCCATCCTGGAGAACGACGACCCGTACGGGCGCCCCGAGCTCCTCTCCTCGCTTGTTGTGTCGAGCGAGGGTCAGCGTGCCCAGGTTGGCATCGTCAGGCGCGGCGGCCTGTTTGGCAGCATGCGGGTCACTTTGCATGTGCTGGTGAACGGCACGGAGCAGCACATCGCCACGCCACTGGGCGGCGACGCTGCCTATAGAAGCACCCTGAATCCAACACGCGTTCTTCCCACGCTTGCCGGCAGCGACTTTTCCCTCTCAGCGACAGCATCAGACAGTATCAATAACAACTCTGGCACCGCCGCCGCCAGCACCACCACCAGCAGCAGCAACAGCGCTGTGTCTCTGGTGCCGGTCTCCGTTGATGAGCTGCTTGCGACGGTGGTGTTTGCACCCGGACAGCAAGTGGCGCAGGTTGCGTTTGCCATCGCAGCCGACGGCCAGCCCGAGCTGGACGAAGGCTTTGTTGTGAAGCTGGGCTCTGTCGTGAGCGGGGCGGGCACGCTAGCAGCAGAGGACCTGCAGCTGGACGCTATGGTAGCAGGTGCCCCGACCCACACGCTGGTGCGCATCCCGGAAAACGACAACGCGCGTGGGCTCTTTCGCTTCGCACCGGCGTCGCTCGTCCTTGGGCTGAATACGGTGGCAGAGACAAACCGCACCATCACCTTGTCGGTGCAGCGCACAGTGAGCACGCTTGGGCGCCTGGCGGTCCCGTTCACGGTCAGCACCGATGGCAGCGGCGCTGCAGCCTCTTTGCAACCGCACAATGGCAGCGTGTGGTTTGAGGATGGCCAAAGCACATCCACGCTGACGCTTCGCGTTGTGGACGACAGCGTGCCGGAGCTTGAGCAAGTGGCAGCGGTGACCTTGGGCGAGACGCCTGGTGCGTCAAGCATTGCCCAGGACGCATCGACGGCCATTGTGACCATTCTTCCCAATGACGACCCCCATGGCGTGGTTGACCTTGCTGCTGCCGGCGTGATCGCATCTGCAACGCACCGCAACCTGTCCTTTACACTGGCACGCTCTGGAGGGCTCTTCTCCGACATTCGCGCACGCGTGCGGCTGCACATTGACCACAACAACGCCGGCTGTGTTTCCGTGGCGGAGGAAGGTCTGCAGGAGGTTGTGCAAGTGCCATTTGCGGAAGGGCAGGCAGTCGCATCAGCGAATGTGCCCATTCCCGACACGTTTTCATTGTCGCTCGCAGAGAACACACGCTTCTGCGTAACCGTCATCTCTGTGGAGCAGCAGGATGGCACGGTAGTGACAACACCACAGGGGGTCTCGCCGCGCCTTGGTCCCCGCGTGACCACTCTCGTCACGCCACCCCAAGAGGCGCGCTTTGGCGTCCTGCTGTGGGAGTACGTCAACACAACCATCCACAGCAATGGCACGAGTGTCAATACGACGCGCATCAACAGCGGTGAAGCACAAATCAGTGTTGATAGCAGCTCCAACGGGACAAGAGCCATGGTTACGCTGGCTGAGACAGGCAACACCGTTGCCGTGCTGTCTGTGAAGCGTGTTGCTGGCTCATTTGGTGCCGTGTACCTGAACGTCTCCTTGGGCGCGGCCTCGGAGCAAATCTCCAGAATCAAGCAGGGAGAAAGCGCCACCTTGCGCATGGACGACTTGACGTTTCCACAGCAAGTGGTGCTTGCCCACGGCCAGACAGAGGCAGGGTTCACGCTTGCCCCGGTGGACAACACGGTACCTGAGCTGCCAAAGGAAGGCACGCTGTCCCTGACAGCCACAACAGCATCCAGTACAGCAGTTTCCGGTACTGGATCCCTCATCCCCCTCCTGCCTGCGCGGCGTGGCAGTGAAGGCGCGACGGTCGTTGGTGCGGGCACTGTGCTGCTGGATGCTGCGGTGGTAGTGGACTCCAGCGACGACGCATATGGCGTGCTTGAGCTCGTACAGCCGCTGGGTGCAGTGGATGTTCTGCGCGGAGAAGGAAACGTGACTGTGACCGTACAGAGGAGCGTCGGATACTACGGTGACGTCGTCGTGCAGCTTGCTGCTCGCGCCACAGCAGCACAGCGCAGTACCACACACGACCTGAGCCGCTTCCGTGCCACCGTGGTGTTTCCAGCAAGGTGGTTTGGTGAGGTAACTGATGGCGATGCTGCTGACAGCGACCGCGCCACAGTGGTGGTGCCTCTCAGTGCCTCTGTCGTGGCAGACATCCCTGACGGGCAAGGGCTGACCGTGTACATTGTCAACGTCACTAACAGCCTGGGTGAAAGCCGCGTTGTGCGTGACGAGGCGACATTCGTGCTGCGCTCTTGCCCCGAGTGTGCTGTGGCGTTTGCACCGGCACCGCCCACTCTGCTGTCGCTGAAGGAGGGCGCTGCATTCTCGGCGACCCTGCGCCGCGGACCGTCCGCCTACGATCGCGTCGTGGTGCAGTGGGCGATTGAGCCGGACACTGGCGATATTGTCCCTGCGGCCGGCACGACGACGCTGGAAATTGGGCAAACCACAGCAAGCCTCGCCTTTACTGTCGTCGATGACACGGTACCTGAACTGCCCGAGGCGTTTTCGCTGCTCATTCTCTCTGCGCGCGGTGCCGAGATCTCTGTGGCGCAAGGCGCCGCAGCATCACTGGACATTGGCATTGCAGCCAACGACAACGCGTACGGCCTGTTCTCCTTTGCGGTGCTTCGCTCACGGGTGGCGGAGGGCGGTGATGGGGAGTCGTCGCAGGCGACCATCCGCGTGCAGCGGCTGCGTGGCACTGAGGGTCGTGTTCTCGTTGATGTGGACACGGCAGACGAGTTGATGTCACTCTTTTCTTTGCCAATGGCAATGGTTGATGTGGCCGAAATGCTTGCACAGACTCAGAACGCCAGCGCAACCACAGGCGACAGCAGCGGGAATAGCACCAGCACCATGGACGTCAGCGACGTCACCGTTGCAAGCTGGTCAGCTGCAAGCAAAGTGGAGGAGTGTGCAAGCATGTGCATCACCAACGCCACCGTCGATTGTGTGGCGTTTGGCTGGTTTCAACCCAACACCACCAGCAACAGCACCACCAGTAATGCCGCTGATCTCAACGCGACAGATACACGCAATGTCAGAGGCAGCAATGGTGCCGCCTCCACTTTCACTTGTGCGCTCTTTGCTCTTCAACGTGAACCCACTGTGGGCATTTCCGACATCGCTGATGTCCTGAGCGAGTGGACGGTGTATGTTCGGGAGACGTACAGCACGGCCAATGCCAGCGTGGAGGGTCTGGACTATGTTGGTCTGCACACGACACTCGACTTTGCTGCAGGTGAGGCGGAGAAGGTGATTACGCTTGACATTCTCGACGACGAGTTGCCTGAAGTGCAGGAGCAGGTGTTTGTGCACCTGAGCAACGCGCGGCTGGTGTTGAGCACTGACGCAGGCAGCAGCAGCAGTGGCAATGACGATATAGCAGTTGCTGCCAGCGACGCGCTTGGTGGTGCACTGAGCATTGCCACGGACAGCACCGGCAACACCGAGAAGCGCGTGGTGGTGATTGAGGAGAGCGACGACCCTTATGGGCGGTTCGCGTTTGCCTCGTCCATTGTCCATACTGAGGAAGGGCAAGTGGCGCGCATTGGTGTGACCCGGTTTGCCGGGACGTTTGAGGACACGATGGTCATGTGGGCCATTGACACATCCAGCCGTGCAACATCACACAACGACACGAACATGGGGAGTGCGGGGCTTGCGTCTGCAGGCGACTTTGCGGTGTCGACGGGGCTAAACGGAACACTGGTGTTTGCTTCCGGCGTGCACGGCGAGGAAACGCAGCCCACGCTGCACTTTGATGTGGAAATCACCGATGACGCTGTGCCCGAGCTCGCGGAGAGCGCCACCTTGGTGCTTAGCATTGCGCCCAGCAGCAAGGGCGTGCTCGGCCAACAAGACACAGCGCAATTGCGCATTGCCCACAGCGACTTTCCTGGTGGCACTGTGCAGTATGCGCAGTCACGTCTGGAGTTGAGCGAGGGCGACAACGCAACCATGCATATCGTCCGCACGGGTGGGGCGCTGGTAGCCGTGAATGCAAGCATCGTCTTTGTTGGAGTGCAGCACGACGCTCGCGTCCTGGACACGGCCACGTTTGCGCTGGCCGACACAAACAACCTCCGTATTTCACCCACGTGGGTGGTGTTTGAAGAAGGCCAGCGCGAAAGCGACGTGGCCGTGCAAGTTCGTGATGACACGGCTGCAAACTTCAACTACACCGTGCGGCTTGGGCTTAGCCTCCCCGCCACGACAATGGATGCACGCATGGCACAGGTCCAAGGCGTCGACAACATGGGTGTCATCGACATTGCTGTTGCTCAAGACGACTTTCCCGCGGGCCTCTTTGGCCTGTCGCTGTGGCACTTGAAGTCCACCCAGCACGCAAGCCAACACGTGTACGTGGCCGCGGAGGACGAGGTGGTGACTGTGACTGTGACGCGCGATCAGGGCGCTGCGGAGAGCGTTGAACTGGTGCTGTCCATGGCGGACGGCACAACGTCATCGCACGAAGTGGTGCTCTCACCATCGACGTCGACTGCTTCCGTTGTGCCGGTCAGCAACGGCTCAGTGATTGTGCACTTCCAGCCTGGGGAGAGGCAGGTTAACGTCACGGCGCGAGTGGTCGGCGACAAGGTGCCGGAGGGTGCGGAGTGGTTTGAGCTCACCCTGAATGTGGTGTCCACCACGGCCGGCGCCATGGCGGGCGTGCGTGCAAGCGCACAGACAGCGAACGTGACAGTATTGCCATCCGATAACGCATACGACTTTGGGCGCTTCTTCATTCCCGAGAACCAGGTTGTGCGTGAGGACAGCCCTGCCGGTGGGGCGCTGCGCGTTGTCCGCAGTTTGGGGCTGCTGGGCGAGGTGGATGTGACGGTTCGCATTCGCCCCCTCGACCCACTTGACTGGTTCATGTCGCAGTCCCCCATCACCATTCCAATCTGCTTGGACACGGCTAGCATGGGCCCAGAATCAAACACCACAACCACAGCCACAAACTCCACGACCGCCATGACAAGCGGCTGCAGCAGCAAGAACAACGCCACGTCTGGGGCAGCTCAAGCCACCACCGAAGCGCTGCTAAACTTCACGGCCATGGTGCCTGCCCGTGATGGCGATGAAGACGCTGTCGCGTGCGCGCGTGCATGTTTGACGCAGGCTGACTTTGAGTGCGCTGCCTTCGTGCTTGCTGGCAGCACACGTGACCTGTGCCTGTTGTACGACCAAGATGCGGCGGGTCACCTCGTCGTGTCAGCTACAGAGGAAGACACTGTGACAAGTGCAAACACAAGTACGGGCGCAACCACGGATCTTGGACTGCTGTTCGTTCTCGACATTCACCTGCACGCGTTCCCCACAGTGACTGACAGTATCAGCAGCATCTCCCTGGCCGATTTGCAAAACAGCAGCACGCAGACAGCTACTGTACGGATTCCGTCTGGCGCAGAGGAAGCGCTCGTCGTGTTGCCGCTGGCAGATGACACCATGCCCGAAGGGTTGGAGCTGGCTGTGGTGGACATCGTGCAATGCGAGCTTGTCTCGCCACAAGGGTACACCCACCCAGGTGCTGGCCCAGAATGTGTTGCAACGCCCACGATTGTGGGTGTTGCTGCCAACGATGACGTCAATGGCCTGTTCTCTCTCTCAGCAGCAGCGGCGGCACCGCCAGCAATGACGTCACCAAGTCAAGGCAGTGTCGCTGTTGTGGCTGGCGCGGAAGGGCAGCGCGTGCAGTTTGATGTGCAGCGGTCTGTCAGCACCAAGGGCACATCCACGGTGTGCTGGATGGCGATGGCGGTTGCTGCGGAGCAAGCCACGTCAGACGCGAGCACGGATACCATGTCAACGGTGACAGACAACTCAACAACGCACGCCACAGGAGCTTCTGTCTCGGTAGCGCAGCAGCTGTCGCCTGCAGAGGGCTGCGTTGTGTTTGCGGAGGGTGAGATGCGCGTGAGCTTTGATGTGTTTGTGGTGGATGATGCTGTGCCCGAGATTGTGCAGCAGTTTGACGTGTCCCTTGTGAACGCCAGCGGCGTGGCCAGCGTGACCAGCGGCAGGAACAGCACGGTCCGATTGGAAGTTGAGGAGAGCGACAACCCGGGCGGGCTGGTCAGTGTTGCCGGCGCGGCCAACAGCACCAGTGCCAGGCGCATCAGCGCTGCAGAAGGCAATGTGTTCAACATCAGCGTCGCACGTTCCGTGGCCGCCCTTAAAGAGATTCTTGTTGAATGGGAGATTGTGCATGCTGGCAGCGGCATCGAGGCAGATGCACCAGCAGTACGATTTGACCACGCCCAGGGCAACGTGACGCTGGGCGTTGGGGTGATGCAAGCAGCCTTTGATGTGCAGCTGCTGGATGACGGTGTTCCCAATGTCATCAACACATACGCGCTGAGGCTCTTGCGGACATACAACGGTGGGGAGCTGGATACAGCACAGAGCGAGGTGGCGGTTGTCGCCCGTCCCGACGACGATCGCGTTGCATTTGAAGCGGCTGGCGCAGCCATCCTGTTGAGTGAAGACGCAGCCGATGACGGCACGGTGGTGGCTGGCAATGGCGATGATGGAGCTGTGGGCACAAGCGGGCTGTCCAGCAACGCAACAGTGTGGGTTCAGCGACTTGACGTTGCGACGAGTGGCGAACTTGTTGTCACCTGGGCGCTGACGGGAGAAGCCCGGGCACAGTTTCTGCCACCACACACGGGCCAACTGACCTTCTTTGGTGCGCAAACACGGCGGCTGCCGATTCACCTGGAGCTGGTCTCCGACACAGTGCCAGAGCTGGCTCAGCAGGCTGTGCTACGCTTGACGTCTGTGTCTGAGAACGGCGTGTTTGATCCCAGCGCAAGACAGGAAGTGTTGCTGAACGTGCAGAGCAGCGACAGTGCCCTTGGCGTGTATGAGCTGTCCCAGGTTGAGGTTGACACGACGGAGGGTGACTCAGCACTGCGCCAGGGACAACGCTTGTCGGTTGTGCGCGCGCCAGGCTCCGGCAGCCTGGGCACCGTTCGCGTGCACTTGGAAGCCATCAGCAGCATGCAAGACCCTGCGCGTCAGCGCGCAGTTCCCGTGGAAGACTTTGTGCTTCTCACCACGTTCGTGGATTTGCCGGCCACAAGCGACGCCGTCGGCGTGAACATTGACGTGATTGATGACACGAATCCCGAGCTGGCAGAGGCGTTCCACGTGCGCATCACACAGCTGGAGATCCTGTCTTTGGCTGATGGCACTTCCGTGGCTGAGATGGTGCCACCAGCTGTACAGAGCTACACCCTGCCACCAGAGGTTGGGTCCTTGGATGAGACGCGCATCGTGATTGCCGAGAACGACAACGCGCGTGGTGTGTTCCGAATTGTGCACATGAATGGCGATGTGGTTGCTGGCGATGGCACGGTCAGGGTCAACGAGGCTGCGGGTGTGTACTCGGCACTGCTTGTGCGTGATATGGCACAGGGCGGGGCCTTTGGCAACGTGACTGTACATGTTGCTCTCGACTTTGAGACGGCCACAGGCGCTTCCGGCGCGGCCGGCCAATTCGCCTTCTCACTTGCACGCACAGCTGAGCAGGCAATCGCAGACACAGCAGAAGAAACAGATGCAGCGGCATCGTCACTGTTTTCGACAGTGACATCGCCGTCCGCAGAAACAGCTACTTCCAGCACAGGCGTGTTGTCAGATTGGGTGCGTTCTGTGGCCGAGTGGCCTCAGGTGCAGATGCAGGCAGAGCCAGAAGCCGTGGTGACGTTTGCTGAAGGCGACACCCTGTTTGCGGTCGTGGCGACACGTCAGCAGACTGTTCTCTATGCGATGCAGACCAACAACAACAACAACAACAATGCTGACGAGATTGGTGCCACAACAGTTGCACCGGCACAAGCCCAGCAGGTGCTGAGCAACCGAGACGTGCGGTCGTTGGCCACGGGGCGTGTTGGACAAAACGTGTTTGTTTTTCTGCCCGTCTTCAGTCTGCGCAACAGCATCATCCCCTCGGCGTCCCTGTCCACCCTGTACATGCTGGACGGCGAGTTTATGGTGCCGACCGCCACCCTCAGCACGGTCAATCCAACGTGCACGGCGTTTATTGCGGTGAACAACAGCACGGCGTATGTTGCGGTTGGCAGCGACTACAACGACGAAGGGCAGTTGACGGGGCAGATCAAGCTGCTGCGCGTCACGGAGGATGGCGCGCTGGCAGAGACCAGTGTTGTTGAGGGCGTCTTCCCCACGAGCTTCCACGCTACATCCGGCATTGTCCGCCACAGTGTTGGTGCAGATGGAACAGAAGCAACAGCAGAAGAAGTTGGGGTCGTGACCACGGTGTTGTCTCCGCTGCTGCTTGTTGCGTCGGCGGACAGCGGCACGGCGGCCGCGTTTGTCGTGACCCCGCAAGGCACCCTCGAGCAGTTGCAGGTGACAGCTGATGCCGCTGCCAGCGAGAGCGGTGAACCTGTGGACGTGAGTATGGCCCTGGCCGGCGTGGCACAATGGACACACGTGTTTGCTGGTGGGGCAGATGCTCAGGAGGACTACACGAGGGCGCTTCTCATCGGCGTGAAGCGTGACCCTGATATGCCGCCAGTGGTGGTTGAGGTGCTTTCGACACGAGACGGTGGTGCTGCTGATACGGTGCCCGTACACATTGTTGTTCTCTCCGCAGACACAGTTGTGGACCAACTTGGCCTACCATCCTTTGGTGTACGTGGTGTATCTTCGCTCAATCATGTCAGTAGCAGTGGCAGCAGCAGTGTGTCGTTTTCACCAGTACTGCTTGCGCTCATCGAACAAGACGAAGATGCAAGCAGCAACAACAGCAACAACAACAACAGCAGTAGCAGCAACAACAACATCAGCGCGCACCACGTTGTGGCTTACGTGTATGATGTGCAGGCCAGTCGCTTTGTAGCCGTGGCACAGGCAAGTGTGGGTGACCACGTCACTGCCATCGACACCTCGTATCTGGGCTACTCGGCCTGGGTGAACGGCGCGGCATTGCCATCCACGCTTGAAGCTGCACCGGGGCTACACACCGAGCCCTGGCTCCTTCACATGCTGGGTGATGCAGGAAGTACCAGCGTTGACATTGCCCTGCTTGAGAATGTGCATGTTGAGGGTGACGCGTTTCTGCCACGGGCGGTGATTGAGTTCACCGATGGGCAGACGGAGGCTGAAGTTGAGCTGGTGTTCCTCAACGATCAGCAGCCCGAGGGGGAGGAGGCCCTTGCCCTCACCATTGTGGCTGTGGAGGATGGTGCACGTGCAGACAGCGATGCAGGTCGGCGGTCCTTGCGCATTGCCACGCCTGCCAACGACCGGTACTACGGCACGTTCTCCTTCTCCCAAGAGACCCTCGCCATGCAGCACATGTACGCAGAGCCAGAGGATGCAGATCCTGTGCGGGTTTTGTTGAAGGTTGTTCGCACGGGCCCTGTGATGGCAGCGGCGACTGTGTTCTGGCGGGCAGATGTTGTTGGTAGCGTAGCCAACGCGTCCACAACAACAGCAACAGCAACAGCAACAGCAACAGCAACAGGTGGTGGTGGTGGTGCAAGCGCCCTGCAGCATGTCCTGCGCGAAATGGCCGGCATGCTGACATTTGATGAGGGCGAAGGCACCCAGACGCTTGTGCTAACCATTGACCCCGACGACATTGCAGAGGTGGCAGCGCAGGTGCGCATCACACTGTCCTCCCATCCCGAGCCTGCCGCACAAGAGAGCAGCGACGATGCCGCCGTTGCCAGTGTCGCATCTGCTCCACACATTGACGCAGAGCGAGGGCATGTTGACTTGGTCATCGCTGGAAGCGACAACCCGCGCGGCGGCGTGTTCTTGGAAACGGAGGGCGGCGAGCGTGCCATCACATGCGTGGAAGGCGAAGTCATTACCCTGGCTGTGCGTCGGCTGCCGGATGCCTATGATGATTTGATTGCAGAGCTGGCACTGTCCCCAATTGGGGCTGGAGCCACACGCGCGGACATCTCGACAGACGTATCACTCTCGACCGTTCAGCTCAACTCAACCCAGGGACAACGTGTGGTATCAACACGTATTCGCGTGCTCTGCGTTGCCGACGGTGAAGACGAGCTGGAAGAGACGTTTGTCGTTTCGCTCGTGCAGCTGAGCAACCCTGGCGTTACATTGCTGCACAACAACAGCCAGGTCCGCGTTACCATCGCAGCGAGTGGCGAGCCATTTGGCGCCCTTCACGTTGCCTCCACCGCGGAGGTGACGCTGGCTACGACATCGAATGAGGCAAACAACAGTGTCACAACATCTGATCGTCATCTAGTCAGCCGCCTTGTCACCATCAACGTGACCCGAGCAGGCGGAACATTTGGTGACATTGTTGCCCACATTTCCGCGGCATACAGCAGCGATGGCGGCGACAACAGCTTCCTCGTTGTGGAGGGCTTGCTCGACATTGCGCAGGCAGATCCGGTGACAATTCTGCGGGCTGGAGAGCACGCTGCGCTCTTGCGGCTGCCACTTTCGCTGGATGCGAAGCTGGTGACCGATTCGCGACTGCGCATCACATTGACACAAGTGCAAGCAACGGTACCCTCGCCCTCGACTGGTGCTCCCGTGGTGGTGCAAACGTACGACACCTTCGAGGCAACGGCGCTGGTGCCGGAGAGCGCTGCTGGAGGGGTTGTGCGGCTCGCCAGCCCAGATCTGGCCGAGGTGGCCGCTGGAAGCGATGTCACGGTCGGTGGTGTGGCAGGTGTTGTCATTGCCAACGAAGGCGAAGCTCTCGCGCTGAGGCTGCAACGTGAGCATGGACGCTTTGCGCCGACAACGGCATCCGCGGCCTTGCCTGCGACACTTCGCTGGCGACTCAGCAGCGTTGAGGAGGCAACAGGGACAGCTGCTTCAGGTACACCCACCAGCGCTGTGCCCTGTGCAGAGCCCCGGCAAGGCCAAGTGTCGGTCTCAGAAAGCATGGACATTGTGCTCAACATCCCCTCTGATGAGCTTCCTGAGCGGGACGAAGTGTGCCTGCTGACCTTCTCACTCCACAACGCGACGTGGGTCAGCCTTGCCACTGAGCTTGTTGCCCTCGTCGTGGTTGCCAACGACAACCCTGCGGGCACCCTCTACCTTGAGCGAGCAAACGTCTCCAGTACCAACAACAGGGACGAAGTGTCTGACGGCAGCATCGCAATCGTCACAGACCTGGACACACAAACGCGCACGGCTGTGCTGGACGTGCACCGCGCTGGCGGCACGTTTGGACCGCTGACGTTTTCGTACCGTCTGGTGTACGCGGCCCCCGTGGCAAGCCTGTTCTTGGACGTGAGTGCCACGACGTGGGAACACACGGGCACGGGTACATTCGCGTCCGCACAGACAACGGTGCGGGTGCAGGCAGCCATACCAGAGGCGCTGAGACTGGAGGTTTCCGGCACGCTCGGCGCGGAGCTGATGGGCGTGTCGCTGGCAGATGGCACCACATCTGCAAGTGCATACGCTGCTGGGATTGTCCCCGGTATTGACGCTACTCGCAGCACGGCGGCACTCTCTGTGACGGAGGGCGTGTTCACGTACGGGCGCGTGTCGCTGGACAGCGACGTGGTGAGCGCGCAGGAGAGCCAGGGCACAGTGACCCTCTCCCTGCTGCGCGACACGGCCACGCACGGGGACATAACCGTGCTGTGGACGGTGGAGGAGGAAGATCGGGGCACATCCTCCTCACCAGCAGCGGCAACAACAGCAGCAGCACAGGCTGGGGTAGACTTCCCCGTGCAGTCGGGCGAGGTGACGCTGGCGTCGCGAGAGGTGGTGGCCTCCTTTTCTGTTGCCCTGACCGATGACGACGAGCCAGAGCAGAGCGAGTCGTTCATTGTTCGCCTCACACAGGTGTTTGGCGGGGCCGTGCTGGGCCGCACGACCACACGCGTGGTCCTGGCAGCCAGTGACGATGCCGCTGGCAGGTTTGCGTTTGCGGGTGCAGGGAGCATCGTGGTTGAGGAGCCCAGCGCGGGCACTGCTGCAGCCACCACGCCGGTGCAGCTCACCGTCCAGCGCAGCGCTGGCCTATTCGGAGCCGTGTCTGTGTTCTGGCAGGTGACGGCCTCCTCTGCGGCAGCAACAACCCAATCCCAGGACGTGTCAACGGACATCAGCCCGCCATCTGGCATGCTGGAGTTTGTGCAGGGTCAGCAGAGCGCTGTGCTCACGCTGCAGGTGCTTGGTGACAGCACACCTGAGCTGCAAGAGGTGTTTGTTGTGTCCCTCACGCGGCTTGTGGCGGACGTGGCGGACCAGGGCAGCATCGATGACACAGCGCGCAGCGTCACCATTGTTGTGCCCCCAAGCGATGACCCATACGGCATTGTTGGTATGAGCGCCCCTGCAAAAGTGGTGCAGGTTGCCCAGCGGGCGCCCCGTTTCGTCGTCTTTGACGTACTGCGCTCGTTTGGAACCGTGGATCAAGTCGTCGTCACCTGCGTGGTCGATTTGAACGCGCGACCCACAAGCAACAGCACCACTGCCACAGCCACCGCCGTACCCACAGCACAGGAGATGGCGGACCTGAGCAGCTGTCCCCTAGCCAATGGCGTCGCCACCATCAGCAGTGACTGCGTCTTCTCTGTCACGTTGAGCGAGGGTCAGGCCCGTCAGAGCCTCCAGCTTGATATCAGCGACAGCGTGGCCCTGGTCGCGGGCCGGACCGTGCTTGTGCGTGTCGCCAGCGCCACCGTGTCCTCGGACAACTCGGGCGTGGCCATTGATGACAGTGCCCGCGGCACAGCATTTGCCATTCCTCTAGAGGTTGCTGACGGCACGGTTGGGTTTGAGGCGGCGCTGGCGTCGAGTGGGCTTCGCGTTTTCGAGTCCGCATCAACAACGTCCACAGCGGCGACAGCAGCGGCATCTTCACGCGCTTCCCTGACCCTCGTGCGGTCTGGCGGGTCATATGTTCCCGGTGCATCGGGATACCTGCTGGTGTCCTGGGCGATCCGTGTGGCAGGCAGCGTCACGAATGGTGCATCGACAACGCCCATCGCAAGTACAGCAGCAGCAGCAGCAACAGCAACAGCAGGAGCAGGCGCCACTGATGCGGTTGGTGATGATGTGTCGCCGGTAAGTGGAGTGGTTGCGTTTGCGCCTGGCCAGAACACAAGCACGCTGTCTTTTGACATTCTCGACGACGCCATCCCTGAGTTTGAGGAGGTGTTTGTCGTGGAGCTGGTGCGCGTGCTTGCGTGTCCTTCCCGCAGCAGTCTGCCCTGCGTGGACGCTGTTGACACACCGGTTGTGCTGACGCGCAATGCCAACAGCGTGGTGGTGACCGTCGCCGCCAGCGACGACCCGCTGGGCGTTGTGCAGTTTGCAGAGGGCAGTGTGGCGCTGCTTGTTCGCAACAACCAGGCCGTGCTCGATGTTGAGCGCTCGGGAGGCCTGGACAGCAGCTTTGCAGTCTCGTACCGCGCCTTCCGCGGCCGCTTCGACACCTTGAGCGTGTCCATACAAGGCAGCGTTTCTCTAGTGGCGGGGCAGACAGCGGCCAGCATTGCGCTCACCATTCCGTCTGCGGATGCGCTTGGCGCTGGCCTGATTGGCAACTTCACGGTGGAGCTGGTGACATCCAACACGACGCTGCAGGGCGCGCGTCTCGGAGCTCGCCGGCTTGCCAGCGTCACTGTCGTGTTTGCAGACAAGCTGTCAAGCCAGGGCGGAGCCGCCAACACGGTGGCTGGCACGCTTGGGAGCCGCAACGGCGATGACGGGACCGTGTGCGTGGTGCTGGTTCCCGAAGGCTGCCTGGGGCTGTCCAACGCAGACGTCGTGCTTGACGACGGCATTGCTTCCTCAACCACATGCGTCGCTGACATTGCCAGTGGACTTGCTGAGACAGATCGCGTGTGCTCAGACTCGCTCTTCTTCATGCACGCCGCCCTGTCCAACATCTTGGACGCCTTCGTCGGCACTAGCGCTGAGGTGGTGCCATCAAGCACGACTGATGTTGCTGCTGGCGCTGGCGCTGCATCTGCCGTTTCACATACACAACCTGATCCACGTCAGGCCGGCCACGACGAGGGAATGTGGAGGAGGAGGAGGAGGAGGAGGGCAACTGTGGTTGAATTGCAGGCCGTTGCGGGCGTTGTGGATGCGCTGCTGCTGCAGCGGCAGCCGCAGCCCTGGATCGACACGCTCCTGCGCAAGTTTGGCGCTGCGTTGCTGGTGGACTGCGACGAAGCCGTTGACGGCAGTGCAGGCTGTTCTTGTTGTTGCACGCGCTCGTTTGTTGGCGAACGGGCGACGTGGGAGGTGACCCGGGCGCGGCCCGCATCGCTCAGCGGGCGCGTGTCATCCCTCCCTGTTGCAGCGACCACGGTTGAGCTGCACGCACCGCCATTCCTGGGCGATGTCCTGCAGCCGCTGGACTCGCTGCTCTCTGGCGGCAGTACAAACACAACCGAAACGGACGACAGTCAGTGCAACACGCTGGTGGCAATTGCTTTTGCTGCGCAGGACAACACGTTCCCCGTTCCTGCGCGCACGCGGGCTGTTGATGGCGTCCTTGTGCACGCGAGTGTCGCGGATGAGGACCTGGCGGAACTTGGCCCCACAAACACCTTCACGTTTGCGTTCAGCCCGGACAGTGCTGGCGCAGGGGAGGTGCGCCAGCCGCGGTGTGCGTACTGGGACGAGGGCATGTGGCTGACAGACGGGTGCGAGCTTGCGATTGATGCTGGAGACCAAGGCACCTTGGAATGCGCCTGCACGCACATGGCACACACCTACGGCGTCTTGGAGGAGACCACCGACCCTGTGCCGCTGGTTGTCATGGCTGGCACGGGCGTTGTGCTCGCTGGGTGCGTGCTGCTGCTGCTGACACACCTGGTGTGGGGCCGCGGTCGCGCCAGCTCCTACCGCGCGCAGGCGTTTGTGTCTCTGTTCCTGGCGGGCTCGCTCTTCATCATCGGAGCCTATACGGTTCGCAGTGCGAGTGTTGACGAGACGCTGGCGTTTGCCGCCGGCATGCTGACCCACTACCTGCTCCTGGTGACGCTGGCGCTGGCAACGGCGGCCGTGCTTGCAGGCACTCGCGAGTACTGCGCCGACCTTGTTGACGTGTCGGCCATTGTGCGAGCGCGCTCGGCGCTGTTGTGGTCCGTGTTGTGCTGGGTGGTGCCAGCGTTCATTGTCGCTATTTACTTTGGCATTGCCCTCGACGCTTCCGACACTGGTATTTCGGGCACGTACGGCGACGTTGGCCGATTCGGGCGAATGTAAGACTCAGGGCCGTATGTACTTGTGCATGGTTATGCTTGTTTGTGTGTGTGTGTGTGTGTGTGTGTGTGTGTGTGTGTGTGTGTGTGTGTGTGTGTGTGTGTACATGGTTGTGCTTGTGTTTGTGTGTGTGTGTGTGTGTTTGTTTGTTCGAGTGTTTGTGTCTGTGCTTGTTTGTGAATGACTAGGGATGCTCGTGAATGATGTGATATGTGTATGGATGCAGTGCGCTGGTTTGAAAGCACACGTGCGTGTTCATGTAGTTGCTGTGACAAATCAAACACGTGCAACACATTTGTGCTTGCCCGTTTGCGCATGCCGTGAGTGGGGTTGCTTTCCTTGTTTGCTCGTGTGTATTGTTGTACGCGTGCACGATGGTGTAAGCACATGCTGAGCGTTGTCTCACCCACGACCAACACAACACCCACCAACACATACATCGACCAACACGACGCACTCCTCCTCAATTCTGCGTTGCGGTGTCGCAGGTCGTTCATTCAGCAAGAGATTGGATTGTATGCGGCCTTTGTTGCGCCGTGCAGCGTGGCGGTGCTGCTGACACTGTTCGGCCTCGTGCGCCTCGAAGCATCGCACTGCCGGTTCAATGCGCAGCAGTTCTCGATTGAGCAGGACGAGGGCATCTCCACCCTTGACGCCCTGTACAATCTGCGTGTGTCCGCTGGCATCAACATCGTCATCGGCCTTTCTGTACTGTTTGGCGCCCTGTTTTCTTCCCTGGCACTCGTGCTGTGGGCGGTGGCGCTGTGGCTGCTCGCGGTGTTCATGTTTGCGGCTGTTGTGATCACTCTGCGCCGACAGCGGCACAGTGGCAAGGCGTCAGTCGGCATTCCAGACGCTTTGGAGATGAGGAGCGAGCAGGGCGGCGTCGTGGTCCTGGACAAGAAGGACGGGCGCTACCTGCAATCCCCGAGCATGGCGTTCCAAAAGTACCTGGATGATCCGTCACAGTCATCGCTCTCACCAGCAAAGGCTTCATCGCATTCTGCGGGGGCCTCCTTTGCGTTGGACACGGCACAGAGTGGGGCATACATGCGAGCGGACGACACCACTGCTGAGTTTGACGATCTGATTGCGGCGCTGACTGCGGCGCCGGGCCTTGTGATTGGCGAAGGCGTGGATGAAACGGCCCTCAACATGTCTCCAAGCACCACCGTGGATTTGCATGCGCAACACGAGCACCTGCAGTATCGACATCGCTTTGATGCTGGTGCGGATGGCTCTCGCGCTGGCATTCATCTTCAAGAGGGCGCCAGTGGCGACACTGCAGACTTTGAGGAGCCCACGTCACTGGACAGCACTCGCATCACTGCTGGCCAGCTGCCGGTCTTGGATGAATCTGCAGTCAGGCCTGTTGAGCTTCGCCGCATGTCCATAGCTGACACGCACCTTTAATTGATCGACCGCGCTTACGTGTGTGTGTGTGTGTGTGTGTGCGTGTGTGTGGTATGGGGTTGCTTGGGAAGGGGTTACTGTTTGGGCTGCTGGGTGCGTGATGGTTGTTGAGTTGACACTCTTGCTCGTCTTTTGTTTTGGGATAACATGTGTGTGCTTGTGAGTGTGAGTGTGAGTGTGAGTGTGAGAGTGAATGCGAGAGTGAGTGTGAGTGTGAGAGAATAGTGAGTGAGTGTGAGTGAATGTGTGAGTGTGTTAGAGAATGTGTGTTCGGGTGTATGAATGTGAGAGGGACGTGTTTTGAACTCAGTCTTCTGCTCTTTGTGTACCGTCTGTCCGGTGTTCACGCACTGGCCAGAGAGGATCGGAACCGGGTGGTGAGGGGATTGCGTTGCTTTATGATGTGACATGACATGATGACAAGAATTAGATTTGCAGAGTTATGCCCTGGGCCAAGTCGTGTGGACTGTGGTGCTTGTGCAGGTACAAACAAGGTGTTTGGGTAAGGCTAATGTGATGTGACAGTGACTGCAAAACAACTCGCCACAGTATCGTCATGTTCACGCGGAAGAGGCGTTCTAAGAAGAAGAGCTGTGATTGAAGGCCCAAAAGTCCTGAACGTTCCTAAGGTTGCGATCTGCTCCGTGACGTCTTTTTTGTGTCATGTCAACAGCCGAGGAGTGAGTGGCGTGCATGTGCCGCGCGAGTGGCTTTTCCGCGCCTGCCCCTGCTGTACCTGCTGTGCGTCTTAATCGGCGCGTGTGTCTGTGTCTGTGTTTGCATCTACATCTCTGTGTGTGGTTTGGAATGTAGGGTTCCTTTCGCAGATTCGTCTTCAGCACCAGCCACAGCACCCATGCATGCGTGTGCCTCGCAAAGTTTCGCGAAGTCCCCCTACCCCGGGAGTTCCGAAAGGGCCCTCGCTGCTGGTTACTTGAGCTCGTTTGTTGTGTATGGGGTCGCCTGGCATGATGCAAAGTCACATAGCGCGACAACCCAAGGGCTAAGGAGGCATTTATAGACCTCCAGCGCGGAGGACCTTCCCAACCCACAGCCTGTCTCCCTGCTTCCTCCCCTGCTGCTGCTTCGTGCAAGTTGGCCGATTTCAGCGACGCTCAGGACAGGACGATGGAGAACGACAGCGCGTCTGGACAGGATCCCGGACACCACTCAACCTCAGAGTCGCTTGCAAGCCTTTCGTCGCTGCACAGCTTCCCCAAGGGCCAGCAGCAGCAAGAACGCGCCTCTCCTCCTCCAAACGCCAGTGCCTTGCAGGTGTATGGAGACGACAGCAACGGCAGCAACAGCACCAACAACAGCGACAACAACAACGAAAGCAGCAGCGACAGCAGAAGCAGCGGCAGCAACACTAGCAACAGCAACACTAGCAACAGCAGCAACGACGGCAACAGCTGCATCTTGGCCGAGCACAACGCTCGACCTGTGGCGCTGGTGCTTGCACGATCACCATCAGACCGCTCGGCGTCCTCCTCATACAAGCTCGAAGTTGAACCCAACGATGGCGATGGCCGGACCACACGCGATAAGCAGCAGCGCTGGGGCTGGAAGGCCAAGGTGCTCTTGGCTGCCTTGCTCGTCGTGACTGTTGCCGCTGGGGCTGGTGTGCAGGTCGCCATGTCAACCACGGGCTCTGGCACGAGCGGTAGCCAAACAGGCGGCGACCTCTTGACAGACCTTTCAACGAATTCATCAACGCCTCAGGCCGACAGCTGGACAACAGCTTCAATGAACACAAGAACCACAGCCACGGTGGCAGCGACAACCACAACTACCACAACTACCACAACCACGAACATTACGACCACAACAACAATCACAACCACTACGACCACAACAACAATCACAACCACTACCACTACTACTACAATCACAACCACTACCACTACCACAACAATCCCAACCACTACCACTACCACAACAACAACAACAGCAACAACAACAACAACAACAACAACAACAACAACAACAACAACAACAACAACAACAACAACAACAACAACAACAACAACAACAACAACAACAACAACAACAACAACAATTGCTGGCACCTTGGATTGTGACGACCCAAGCTCCAGAGACCGATTTGCCATGGGCGGCCTCACGTCGGCTGCTACCGTCATCAACTGCTGCTGCGACGAGTTTTATGCACTGGAACGTGTCAACGGCTCAGTGACATTGCGCGACTCCGAGAGGTCGTTGCGATTCGGCTCCGTGACACGCGTTGATGGTGACATCCTGGGCGGTGCCTTTGGCGAAGTCACATCGATCGACTTTGGGCAGCTCACCTTCGTTTGGGGCACGATTGACTTCTTCGGACACAGCATCACCTCGCTTGATTTCAGGCAGTTGGCGTTCATCGGCGCTTCAGCCATCTTCCAGCACAACCGCATCACCTCCGTTGATTTTGGGCAGCTGACACTCATTGGCGGTTCCCTCGACTTCAATTTCAACAGCCTCACTTCGCTTGACATGAAACACCTGATGAATGTGGGCAGTGCGAACTTCCTCGCCAACGACATCACCGCGATCGACTTTGGGCAGTTGTCGATGGTTTGGGGCCTTTTCGACATCGCGGACAACCCGCTCCGTGTTCTTGATTTCGGGGCTCTGCGTAATGTCGGTGCTTTTCTTCTCTGGGCTGGACACCAGTCTCGTGTCCTGGAAGGCAGCGTGATTGGTGACCTTCTCCTGCGAGTTGATGATGTCCTCGAGAGGCTTGACTTCGGCAGTGGCATCTCGAGTGTGAACGGGAACATGTACTTTGAGACCAACTCTGTCCTCTCCAGCGTTGATTTTGGCAGCTTAGCCAACGTGACTGGCGATATCCTGTTCGACAGCAACGATGCCCTCACCAGCATCAGCTTTGGCAACACCTCAGACACCAGTGTGGGAGGACTGGTCTATGTCTACGCCAATGATGCCCTCACAGCGCTCGACTTTGACGGCATGGCCAGAGTCGGCGAATACGTGCACATCAAGGGCAACACCATCCTCACCAGCGTTGACTTTGGCGGCCTTGAGAGCGTTGGCCAAGACATTCGCATCGACTACAACGCCAACCTCGCCAGCATCAACTTTGGCGGTCTCACCAGGGTCGGCCGCAACATCATTGTCGAAGGCCAGAGCGCTCTGACCAGTCTCAACTTTGGGAGCCTCACCACTGTGCCCGGTTACATCAGCGTCGGCCTGACAGACGCCCTCACCAGCGTTGATTTTGGCAGCGTCACCTTTGTGAATTTCAACATCAACCTGGATTACAACACTGGCCTCACCAGTGTCAACTTCCGCAACATCACCACGGTTTTTGGAAATATCGCCTTCACCTCCAATGCCGCCCTCACCAGCATCAACTTTGGCCATGTCAATTTCGTGAGCGGACGCATCGCCTTTCAGGGCAACAGCGCCCTCACCAGCGTCGACTGCGGCGGCCTTACTGCGCTCTGTGTCAATAACGCCGATGGCATTGCCCTCATCAACTGCCCCGCTGAGTGTTGATGCTTTGACTGCCTTGACCGTGTTGATGGATGTGTTGCTGTCACGTTTAAGTCAAGCTCTAAAGCTGTCTTCCCCAAGGCATGCGCTGGTGCGCTGAATAAAGTGGTTGTCCTAGTGTTCTGTCGTCTTGTTGTGTTCAAGGGTTTATTGGGGAAAACTCGCTGAAATCTTACACTGCTCCCGGCGCTCAAAGATGGGGAAGGCAATTGCGGCAAAACAAAGGGCAACGGTGCGCATGGGTGAATGTGTGTGAGAGCACGCGCCTCATAGACAGAAAGAAAAGTGAATCAATAGATAGATAGAAACCAAGTGCCTCGGTGAGGTGCGAGGCTCATGTGTAGTGCTGCGACTGTCGCTTAGACAGTTGCAGGGGGCTCTGTTGCGGCCGGGCCACCGGGGCTTCGTGAGGTCACTGGGGCGCTGCGTGGCTGTCCCTCATCGTTGTCGGTGGTGGCGGTGGCAGCGGCGGTGGCAGCAGTGCCGTTGTTGCTGTCCAAGCCCAAATGCTCAAACGGGCGCGCGTAAAGGCTTGAATGCGATTCAGCGGCGCGTCAAGTTGTGAAGATTTGGCACCACATTCACAAACAATCGGCACTTGAGCGGAACGTGCTCACCACAACCTTCACACACAGACACACACAGACACACACAGACACACACAGACACACACAGACACACACAGACACACACAGACACACACAGACACACACACACACACACACAGATACACACACACACACACAATGTTGCAGCGGCTGTCGTTTGTGCGGCGGCTGCGCCAGGAGCTGTTCACGGACAGCCGAGTTGTACAGGAGCGCCTGAGGCAGCTGGGTGGAAGCGGGACTGTGAGAACGACGCTGGAGGAAATCAGGCGCGAGGGGAACGAGGATCAGAACAAGACTAAGAGCAAGGACATGAGCAACAGCAATAGCAAGAGCGCTCGTACATCTACTGCTGCTGCAACGGAGTCATCGACACCACCCAACACAGTGCTGCGCATCACGCTGGACAACCCCCTTCGGGCAAATGCGCTGTGTGGCAAGATGCTGGCCGAGCTGGGGGATGCCGTCCAGACGGCTGTTGGTCTTGAGCTCCAAGATCCTGCATCCGCAACTGCGGCAAAGCCAAAGCTGGCGTGTGTCGTGATTCAGGGCGCTGGGCGCCACTTCTGCGCGGGCTCAGACTTGAATCTTCTCGCCAATGCAACCGCAGACACAGCCAAGGACATGCTCAACTTCATGCACGTGAGTTTTGTTATGAAGGCGCGGCCGAGGTGTTGTGCGTCCTTGTGTTTAAAACAGCATATTCTTGGCAATCAATGGCCCGATCTGTGTGCTTGCCTGCTCTTGCATTCAACCACACACACACACACACACACACACACACACACACACACACACACACACACACACTATCACGCACAACCAAGGCGATTTCGTTTGGTCAACGGATTAACCAACGCTGCCGCTTGTTTGATCTCACAACGCCAATGCCCAACATTCTGCAAAGACGGTGACCACATGTTTCAAGACCCTCAGCGTGCCCACAATCGCGCTCCTTCAAGGCGATGCTATCGGCGGTGGCTCTGAGCTCGTCACCGTAAGTGTTCTTGGACTGGCCACAATTGCAGTGGCGTTGCACCGTTTCAACATCCCCTTGGTCTTTGATGGATCTTCAGTTGTCGCACACTTACTGTATTGTGCATTCCATGCATGTGTTGTGTGCTTGACTGTGATGTGCTTCCCGCATGGTTATGTGCGTGTGCGCGTGTATGTGTGCGTGTATATGAAGATGACAGACTATCAAGTGGCAGACGAAGCTGCAGCGAGGATACGCTTCGTGCATGCGAGACGAGGTTTAACGCCCGGCTGGGGTGGTGCCGCTCGCCTGATTCACATGGTTGGGGCCCACCGCGCATCCCAGGCACTCATGTCTGCGCGTATGGTGAGCACACGCACTCGCATGACATCGTTGTGTGTGCGTGTGCGTGTGTGTATGTGTGTATGTGTGTATGTGTGTATGTGTGCGTGTATGTGTGCATGTGTGTGTGTATGTACGTGTGCATGCGTGTGTGTGTGTGCGTTCACCACCTGAATTGTGTCGGCACCACACGATCACTTTCTTCTCTCAGTGCTTGCTCCTCCCACGTTCTTTGTGCACGCGTGCGAACACACTTCTGCAGTTCACTGCCAAGGATGCGCACAACTATGGGCTGTTCAGCCACCTGGCACCTGCTGGCGAAGCGCCACGTGTGTGCGATGACCTCGTTCAAACCCTCACCTCCAACGACCCCGCTGTACGTCCACGCTCGTGTGCACCACGACTGCTGCCCGCTTGACTTCATGCCTGGCTCACTCACACTTTCCTGCGCATGTCTGTAACACACATTGCAGGCGATAGCCTCTGCAAAGCTGCTGTCTCTCAGGGGCTTCATCGAGAGTGAGTCAGCATTCACACATGCCCGATGTGTCGTGGTCACTGTGTTCCATCGCTGTCATGTCATTTCGTTCGTCTTAACTCCTCACATTCCCCAACATACACGCACAGGCCTGGAAGCGAGTCAAGACACAGAGAAGGAGATGTTTGAGTCGGCATTCGCCCGCTTGCAATGGTGAACTGCTAGCCTAGGCGTCGCGTGTCGCTTGACGCACACCCCTTTCCAATGTTGAATCAGAGGTGATGGACGTGCACCCTCTGTCCTTGACTGCTCTTGTGTGTGTGTGTGTGTGTGTGTGTGTGTGTGTGTGTGTGTGTGTGTGTGTGTCGCGCTCCCTCTGCCTGTTCCCGCCTCTCTCTGTCTTTCTGTGTCAGTTTGTTGTCTCTCCATGTCTCTGTCCCTCTGAGTCTGTCTCGCTCATGTCTCTGAGTCAGTCTCTCTGCTTCATTTTGCTTCTCCTCTGTGTATTGTGCGTGTAGGTCTTGTGTGTTTGACGCAAGAAACACTCCACCATCAACACAATGCTTCCACCATCACCACAATGCTAAGCACGCAACCTGACGATGGAAAGACTGATGGCGGATGCCAATGCGTGGATGGTGTTGCTGTCGTGGCACAATGCAAAAGCAACACGCACGCACAAGCTGTCGTTGTTGGGGATAACAAGTCAGAGAACTACACATCAAGCAAGAACACACGCAGAAACACACACACACACACACACACACAAGGGGAAGCAAGCCAATGACAGGCGACAACACCAACAATGACGCCGTGTGTAAAGGATGTGGGAAACGCACAACGAAAAACCACAGGTAGGCACGAACTGTGAAGGCACACACAATGCGGAGGAAACAGCACAAAACGACTAGGGCACATATACACACACATACATGAACACACACACACACACATACATGAACACACACACATACACACACACAAACCGACTTGATGAGACACACGATGTGTGGAAACATAAGGGAGAGGAGGAAGGGTGATAGGTGGGAGGGATAAGGAGACAGGCCGGAACACACAGCGGCACCAAAAGTCTCCATCTAGAGGGCGCCGTAGCTGGAGGTGTCTGTCTCCGCGACGTTGGTCATAGCCGCATACTTGCGGCTGCGGCCAAACAGACCAAAGCCAGAGAGCGTGAACGCAAAGCCGTCGCTGATGAGGCCGGGCAGGCTGGTCCAGAACTCCGCGTGCGGGATGCGAGGCACGCCCGAGCGCTGGTAGTTGAAGACCATGCCTGCGGCGAGATAGGCCAGGCCGCCAAAGAAAGCAATGAGCAGCAGCACGCCGCCAGCATCAATGCCTTTGTTGCCCGACTTGTTTGACGCAGACTTGGCCAGCACCCAGTAGAAGTCCTGCGCTGTGAAGCTCTGTGGCACAGACAGTGTGTGCGAGCGTGTACATGTGTGTGTGTGCGAGCGTGTAAGTGCGAGTGTGCGAGAGAGAGAGAGAGAGAGCGTGTGTGTGTGTGTGTGTGTGTGTGTGTGTGTGTGTATGGTGTGCCTTGGCCAAACAAACGCAGCCAAGGTAAAGCAACACACTGGCAAATGCACAGTTGAAGATACACCCCGTCCCACATACATGGCAAAGTGAACAAACAAACAAACGAACGAACGGTCGTACCTGTGCAAAGCCGTGGACCTTGTCGCTGAGGAGTTTGGTCATGCGCAGGAACTGGCCGTAACGAAGCAGCACGCCGTAGGCGTGCCCACCTGTGGACACAGCGAAATACACATGGAAGACAGTCAAACATGGGAAGTGGAGTGAGTAGTTGGTGGAGCAGCACAGCATGAGCGATGTGGTGGTCGATTGGGCGGCAAATGCACAGCTGGGACGACGCCAGTCCCACCCCCGCAGCGATCAAATCAGAGGTAGTGTTGTGCGGTTCGCGTTACCGAGTGGCTGGCGAAGGAAAGCAAAGTTGTTGCAGGTGTTGGGCGGGCATGGTTGCTTGAAGCTGCAGGGAGAGGTGAAGCAAAGGCCAAGGCAACAGAGCCATCGAGACATGGCATGATGACAGCACGGAAGCGTGAGGACGCGCAAGCGAGCAGGTACGAGAGAATGAAGGGTCAGACGGACACGCAGGTGGGCGAAGCAGAAACACGCAGAAAAACTTCCACATACGCGCGCACGACAGCCGCCCATGCACACATAAAGAGAAACAGACCGATATACATAGATACACACATGGACCCAGACACAGGCATGCACACACATAAAATAGAGGCAGACAGGTTTTATATTCCAACACACACAGACCCAGACGCATGCATGCACATTGGCTCAGGCGTACGTGATGGTGCGGTTGACGGCCCAGATTGTGGCGCCAACACTGCAGGGGCACTCCTGAGTGAGGGCGTTGACGGCATCCTGGTTGAGCGGGGTGACCTCAAAGGCGGCCGGCTTGAGCGTCAGCTCCCGACCGTTGGGGATCTGGTTTGGCCGCGACCCAATGTCAATCTGCTCGGAATAAGGAAGTGGGGGGGGGGGGAGGGGGAGGAAGGGGAAGGTGGGGGTGGCGGCGTCAATGTGAGCGAAGGATACTGATTACTTGTGATGGAGAAGGTGGGGGAGGGGAGCAGGCTGGAATGGCAAGGAGATGGGCACTGCGATCACCAGCAACAGCGGCATATCACTTTTCACACCCCCCCCCCCAAAACCATGCTGTGCTCTTGCTTTCTCACCTTGCCCTGCTGCAGGAAGCGGAGGGCCACGGTGCCGAGGCAGCCAAAGCCTGCGGTGTAGAAGGTGTGCCTCATCTCGTACTTGTTGCCCTTAATCTCCATGACGCCCTTGAAGTCAAGGCCAGCGTCACCGGGGTTGCACGGGCGCTCCCACACCCCACCATACTCATCCTCCAGCGGCGGTGGGCGGCAGAGCTCTGTCTGGTGGAAGGGGTAGTCATCAAGCTGAAGGAACTCGTCAAAGCCGTCCGTTGGGTTGTCGTGCAGCGATGACATGCGGAACAGGTCCTGGTGGTCAAGGACGAACGCGATAAGATGAGGGAACGGAATAAGGGCGTGGAGACGAGGGGAGCACGCAGCGTGTTCGTGATGTGATGATGTGAGGACGGGTTTCAAAATGAAAGAAGAGGACGATGAGAAGGAAGAGGCGGAGGACGATGAGAAGGAAGAGGTGGAGAAGGATGATACACAAAGCACGCAGAGTCCAGCAACACACACACACACATCCACACACACACACACACACACACACACTCCACACACACACACTCCACACACACAC